AGACTTGTCGAAATTGTTCACCCTCAGAAGAGAATTTTACATTGTCAGTACACAATAATAAATCTTTAAGAGCTTTAACGAGAAATGGCAATGGGAGGTTATTCAGCGAGATATAGTCACATAAATATTTTGTTTTTGTAACCGGAATTATTAGTAATAGTAACAGCATAATAATAACAGTATAATAATATCGGCATTGTTTCGCAATTATTTTAATGACTTGAAGTGCTGAGAAGTTAGTATGCTTATCTGCTTTAGTCCGAAAGATTGAAACTGATGCGCTATATCCATTGGTCATTAGGTTGACATCAAGTCAGCATTTGTAGTGTTATACAAAAGCCTTCAAGGACGTATACTAAGGCTTATTGAAGCCTTGGATATACAGAAGTTGAAACCGCACCTTATGTGTTCAAAAACAATTTGTTCTTACCCTTAACCTACCCTAGTGATGCTGATTTATTATCCAGAGTGGTCATTACATTGTTATTGTGTATTTTATTCATTTTATTTATTTGTTACGGCTTACCTTAATTTGTCCAGTTGACCTTTTAATTCTCATATAACAATGTCTTAACAAGTATATGTGTGATTAGATTGTTTAAAATGTATTGCGCAAATATATCACATAAGTCTGATCAACCCCGTCTTTTCATTGCTTTATCGAAATTTATCAAATAAACTAATTCTTTTAAATTTCCGAAAGGAAGAACATTGTTTACATTAGGGTGATTTTCTTCTGAGTTCTGAATTCTAAGAGATTCGGGAGAGCTTGTCGGTGGTCTCATATTTGTCACGTCATAGATTCTCACAAAATCAGACATAATTTATAGCCTTTGGGATCAGACTGAGTTTCGGACTTTTGCACCAGAGGTCTGTAACTAGCTTTTCTACCTTCCGCGGACGTGGCGTTCTATCTGGAGGAATCTGAATATCCATGAAAATCTGTTTTTATTTGATCGAATTTTAGAAGGACATAAACGTTTTTGCTTCTTAAGACTTTTCGAATTTGAACAATGTTGGTGAATGCATATCAAGGGGAGATTTTCGGTTACGTGTACACACATGTTACATGGGTCATATTGCTGTATTCAAGCGGCCTAGGCCTGGTATTTTTTAGGACACGTGTGTACAGCATATTAAACGGGATTGCATTGCTGGATCGTCCTATTCTTCAAAACTCCTCTGAAGAAAAGTAACTCAAGAAATCATTCATGTCATTGATTTGATCTGGGATTTCAGTGACGTTTCGGTTGCAAAGGTACTTAAGTAGATTAGGGATGTTCATGTTAAGTTGCGACTTTCTTATGTGGTCCATATGGTTACAATGACCATTGCTACCATTGTTTATTGAATTGAGTTTATTGAGTTGTGAATGTCTGAAACGGTGACAACTGGCATGAGCTTGTATGTTTCTGTATGAATTGAGTAGCACAAGTCGTTAAAATCATTTGAAATCGTCGGCGAAGGTGTCAAATTGCATCCCTATACTTTAGGCTGAATGCCTGGAGACAGGAGCTTTCAAAGGTTTTTGAGGCGTGATTGGATTTTGATTACTAGCAGAATGATTAAAGAAAAAGTGTTGAAATGCAAACAATATTGAAAAAGTTAAGGTAGACGACTGGAGGTAGTTTAGAAACTAAGACCTGAGTTAGGGACGAATATGAGGATACAGTGAGCATCATTAGAGATTGCAAATGTAAGAGAGAGAAATGATAGGAAAATTGTAGTAGAGATATAGTGTGGAGACATATGCTAAGATGCAAAATAGGACAAAAATGTGCTTTTTAAAAACTCTAATTCAGAGATTTTATGAAAAGATATGGTGTGTATGTCAAAGTAATCTTCAACTGTCTATATTCTCCTCTGATCAGGACATCACAAAGATATATTTGTTATAACTCTCCACGCGATGTTAAAATTATTTGATGCTTTTGTTTTGTTAAATTGAGATCTTGTCATGTAGCAAAAACATGCCTTGTTTAAGTAGATGTTTCTGAAGTTGCCATCAATCCCGATATTGTTTTACTTATTAACAGCTGATCGTGAGGGAATCCGTCAAGAGCCCTATTGAAGTCAATATGGATCACATATATGGGTAGCTTTTGATCTTCTAGAGTGCATCAATTTTCACGGCCTACTAATTAGTTAGTGAGACGTAAATAACCTGTTCTAATGCCATGCTGCTTATAGAAAAAAATTTGATTTCGTCTGGATAATTGAACAACTTCGTAGTAATCTTTTTTAATGTCAACAGCCACGCTGGCTAGGCTTACAGTTCAGTACTTCTCAAGTTTGTTCTGGTATCTATTTGGAAGACAGGACTTACTGTGGCGTTCTTTCAGTTATTTGGTAATCAATCTTGGAGTTCAGATAGATTAGAAACATATATTTGAGAGATTTGCGACAAAATTTGTTAGTCCATTTAGTAATATCCCATCGAATTTCATGGATTCGCCCATATTAAAGTTATTAAGCAGATCGAGTTTTTTAGTGGCCACACTGTCCAGTGTGTGTAAGGCAGGGTTTGTGTGAATTGAAGGGGAGAGCATCTCCACGGTATACAAAGTGCTTTAGTAGCTTGTGAATAACTGAGCTGTACCATAGTCGTCCTCTACTAGTGATGCAGTACTACTGTCTTCTCACAACGTTGAGATGTCACCTGTTCTCTTAGTCCTTTAGTTTTGTAGTAGTGTAAGCATTTGTGTTATCCTATAGATTCTCTAACAAGCTTTTCTTTATACAATCTTACAGGTTTTCGGAGGGTCGAGACATTAATGTTACGAGTTTCTCGATAATGAGACTGCCCCATCGGTACCCATTCTTTTGTACTTATTGGGAAGGGTGTAAACCTATTTATTGAAAAGCGATGGGGAGTTTCTCAGATCCCTTGGTGTAATCCACGGGATGTTCGGTGCAGTAACTTTTACTTACAAACTTCTGAGAACCTCCTCGTCGTTTTAATAGGGCATCCTGATTCTCTCGTCAAATCTAATAAAGTTGCTCAGTTTGTAATTTGTATGTTTGCATTCCGAACGTTTGGTTCGGCTTTAGCTGAGAAATCGTTGTTTGAAACGAAATGGAAATCAAAGACTAAAACTGCATGGTCACTCTTACTTAAGAGTGTCATATAGTAGAGGTTTATGACATCATGCTTATAGTGGACCAGTATGAGATTTAATAAGGGTGATTCGGATTCAGAGTCGTACCTAGTTGCTTCTTTCACACATTGCACTAAGGCACATATGATGATAGCGTCAACCAGCTTCTCTTCTAAGGCATTTTCTAACAACTTAGTCCTTAGACTTTTTCACTCTACCGTAAGTAAGTTAAAGTCTCCTAAAGTTAAATACAGACCACTCAATGATCAAGTTCTAACGCTGACATTTTATTCATCTCACAATTTGGACTGCGGTAGACCAAACCAACCAACATATCTTGTCCTTAGCATTTCAAGTGGAAACTAACTAATTCGTACGTCCCACTTCCATGGGATGTGTTGTCAATAACGCTAAAGGGGGTAATATTTATAGTGTACGGGGCCACTCCCCCTGCTTTAGGCTTCCGGGTTTTGTTCGCTCTTGTTAATTTGAGACTTTCAGAATCAAGTTTCCTACTCTTCACTGACAGCGTCAGACAAATTTCTGTGGCAGCTATGATATCCAGCTTAATGTTATCACTGTACATCTGGCCTCTCTCTCTTGTTGAGAAAGCCACGGGCATTTCCGTAACAGTTTTGAAGACAATTCAAATGGCTTCGTGCTGCACTCAAATTTAATTCAGCATCGTTCTCTGTCAATGCCTCGCCGCCCGAAAAGCTAGAATTTTAAGATCCTTCTTGCCAGCATTTAACATTGGTTCTAGTTCCTTTTCAGCTTCCCATCATTTCATACAGTCTGCAGGCGCACGTCTTTACGGACAAAAGATCCCTACCCATTTAGTCTATGTCCATTCTATGGCATTAGGTCCCCTTCCTTGGGAGATATAAATACTGACTTTAGCAGCCTGATTTAACTCTGCTTCAAGTTCGTTCACCTACATCGTCCATAAGCCTTCAGCAAGGTGAACCCAGAGGTATTCTTAGGTAAAGCTGGTTAAGTAGATCCTTTGTTAACCCAACGTTATGCTGAGAACGAGTTCTGTGTTCTTAGCTTACAATCTATGTGACCCTATCTCTATTACGCTTGCTTATACTCTATTTAGCGATGTTCACCACTGAAATGGCTTTGGATAGCGAGTTTTTTTATTTCTAGCATCGCTGACACAGACACGCGCATCTGTTTTTACTAACCCGTTTGAAATCCTCAGGAGTTTGTTAAGTGCTAAATTCGTGGTACCATCTTTTACACTAGTCACACCATACTGTTCACTAATTATTTGGAGGGTTCTAGATAAACAGGACACAGAAAAAAGCAAGAACAAAAAACCAATGACCAGAAAAATAAGAAAAGCGGCAACTGTTCGATCCAAAAGTGTGACAATTAAAAAATCGATATACTAAAAAAACTACAGATGATAAATTACTTACGAAAAAGACACTCTTGATATCACTTTAACAAAAATAAAATTAATTAAGGTGAAAACAGTAGTCTTGATGAATAATAAACGATCAAAACCATAAAATTTACGCATTGAGGAAAAATGCTGCTGTTTTTTTCAAATTGTGCTCATGTTAATTCACATAAAGGCTATGACTATGTGCAGGTCACTACGCCTTTGTCTGGCGAAAGCAAACTCATTGCTCTGAAAAATTTACTGTTTGGCTGACTAAAAGATAAAAGTCTGACTGATTTATGTTACTCATCAGTATGAACTATGAGTAGGAGAAACCAAACTTTAATAAGATTCGGCACTAAACGTTTTTTCTATGTAATGCACGAAAAGTTCTGATGGTAGTGCATATTGGTACATAGATTCATTATTATTTTATGTGAAGACTACCACTAACGTTTTGTCTTAAGTTTCTGATGGTCACAACAGTGTTTTAATTGCTATGTGTGGATAGGTGCTAGATTTGGATTTCCGTTCTCTCAAGGTTATAAAGAAGTTCGGGATGTCGACATTTAACGCTGGGCCAGCAAATACAGGAGCTGCACCGTATGTAGAAATTATTTATATATTTCAAATAAGTGTGGAGCTCACCGCAGGAAAGATCCGTGAAATGATGGCTAATGCTCAGAGAGCAATAGCTCAACGGAAGTTTGAGCTTGGCTTGGTAGGTTTTTAATTTTTGGAGGAGTTAATTTATTCTTAGACGGAGAATGGTGCCGCTAATGGATTAAATTTTCCTCCAGGAGTCATTCCTGATACAGAGACAGTTGATAAAATGAGGCGAGCTGCTCAGCTACAAGCGCAAATAAACGCTCGCTTGAACTCAGGAATTCTGAGTAGCCATTCTGTGAACAGTGATTCCAGGTAAAGTAATAATACGTATTTATCTTTTTTCACTAGAAAGTCGAAGGATATTCCCAAGTAAGTATACTGCTATCAATTTACTATCTGATTAGTGTGATCTTCGACGAGGAAGGTAAAACTATCGATGCTTCTACTGGTGAGGAAATACAGCTTACTCACTACACACCAACACTTAAAGTATGTAAATGTTGAAGCAAATATGTTTTCAGGCCAATCTCAGAGCTAAGCGTGCTCAACAGTTCAAAGAGGTTCTTCAAACCACAACTCAGAAGAAACCTCAAAAGTCTTCAGTCTCAACCATATTTTTTGATCCTCGGCTAAGGTATAACCAGTTAATAATGTGATTTTCTCAGAGTTAAAGCTGCTTCACGTCCAAAACGACAGCTGAGTTTCCATGAACCTGGAAAGTTCGTCAAAATGGCTCAGCGCATGCGAACCAAGTTCCAACTTCAAATCTTACAGGAATCCGTCGCCCAGGCTGTCAGGAAAACGGGTATTGCTAGTGCAGCCAAACTGTCGACCATCCAGCCCAAACGTTCCATTGATGAGACAGATATACCATTGCTGGAATGGTGGGATGCTTATATTCTGAAGGAGGGTGTAACTAGGTGGGTTGTTTCTTTATAGTTTTATTTTCCTACCCTAGTTACTCTACTTTAGATGAACTAGCAATCCATGGCCTCCCTGTCTCTGCTGCGGTTAATAAAGCCTGGATCACATGTTTGGTGGAACATCCAGTCAAGTTGAAACCCCCAACTGATCTGTCCAAGCCACCGGAAATACCATTGCTCCTAACGAAAAAGGAGCGTAAAAAGCTTAGACGTCAAAACCGTCAGGAAGCTCAGAGAGAAAAACAAGAAAAAGTTAGACTTGGTCTAATGCCACCTCCTGAACCAAAGGTTAGTTTAAAGTCATGTGTTTATTCAATAACCAGAGGTAATATATCTTCCGCTCAGCGCCTTTAGTTGGGCTTAAAAAATTAAACTTTGCTAACAAGAAGACAATACGCGCTGTCAAATGCCTTCTGAGTCATTTTTATATGTGATTCAACTTAAGCAGTAATTGGAATTAAAAGTAAAACCTAACTATTCATGTATATTGTATGTTCAGTATACATCGTTTTTCAAAACCAGACTGATTGAGAATGCAAACTGTCCCTAAAGTATTTAGATCCTTGACATTTCAATGCATACTTGAAAAATTCAAACCTTCAGGGTTCAAGACTTTCAAGATGTACGCAAAATAATGCAAATCCTTCCATGTATTCCACGTTAGTCAGTCACTTCATATAGACCAAACACGTGAACATCTACATACGTAATCTAGTGAGGTAACCCCACAGTGATGCTTTAAAGGTTTGGTGGTTAGATTTACTAGTGATAGATACAGTTCCTTATGGTATCGTGGTCAAGATGCTTCAAGTATACGTTCAATTATCCTGTCATGAGTCTTAACTCACGCGTAACATTTAATGTATGGAACCCACAGTTTGTTCAGTCCATGTTGTAGAGTTTGACATTAGACAGTACAGTACACAAACAGTAGTTTCAAAATTTACACCATTTGGGTCGTGACTTTCCACCCCTTCGTTTATTAGGACTACCATTGATTGCTATGTTCAGTAGTACAAAATATCCTTTAAACAAAGAGAAACTTGTCTGTACTTGAATTCCACTCATACTCATTTAAAAGATACTAAAGTTTTATAAACACTTATAATTTGTTCTGAAGAAAAGCTTCAGTCAGTCAGTCAGCTACAACGTAGGACCAGGCACATATATGCATCGGTCCAAGTTGCCATACCTCTTTAGCACAACAAGATGAACACCGGATTCATAGAAGCAATTAATTTAGTGGTGGTAGTATATAAAGAAAGATTGTATAGAAAGATATAGTACAGGAAGGAAGAGAGATATGAAGCAATTTTAATCTCAAGGTTTAAGGGAAGATAAAGAGTGTATACACCTACGCCATTGTGATCGATTCTGAGCCATGTCACCTACAGTCTCCAACCATTTATTACGATAGTCACGCGGACCCCAACCAGGTAGTCTGCATCTGCCAACATGACTCAGGCTAGAAGTTAGTGACTTCAAACACTGATGCCATGTTTTGGTTTGGCCGCCCCTAACTCTCTTCCAACCGTCCCCAATACTAGTCATCATAGCGCGTCGTGGTAATCGGTGTTCAGGCATACGTAACACATGGCCCAACCATCTCAGTCGATGGAGATTCATCACCTCATCAACTGATTTACCATCGTTCCCTAATACCCTGCGTCTAACCTCACTATTACTTACTCGGTGATCCCAGCAGATGCGAGCAATATTACTAAGGCATCTGTGGTCAAATACTAGTAACCTACGAGTATCTTCTACTCTTAATGGCCATGTTTCGCAGCCGTAAAGTAGAACAGAGCGAACTGATGCGCAGTATACTCGTCCCTTAATTGATAGACGGATATCTCGTCTTCGCCATAGGTGACGTAAGTTGGCAAAAGCCAAACGAGCTTTTTGAATCCGTGCTGAGATTTCGTCAGACACCAACCCATTAGGGCTGATCAGACTTCCAAGATAAGTGAAGTTGTCAACGCGTTCGACTACTTCACTCCCTATCCTTAGTTCGAGTGTTGACGCAGGCCAGTCCTGGAGTAACAATTTACATTTGGATGGGGAGAAACGCATCCCAAACATCCTGGCATTATTACTCAGTTCCAACAGAAGACTCTGCATTTTGTCAGCGTCTTCACCAAACAGGACTATGTCATCTGCGTATTCTAAGTCGCTTAGTGGTCCCCCTGGTAGGAGATCAATTCCTGTAAACTCAGTCGACGAGAGTGTCATTTGCAGCAACAGGTCTATAATGAAGTTAAACAAAAAGGGGGATAGTGGACAGCCTTGACGGACACCACTTGAGGTTGTAAAATCATATGACAGTTCGCCATAAGCTCTCACTCGACTGATAGTGTTCGAGTAAAGAGCCTTCACAAGGTTTATGTACTTCTCAGGTACACCTTTCAATGACAGACACTGCCACAGAACCTCTCGGTCTACAGAGTCAAATGCTGCTTTCAAGTCAAGAAAAACTATCATTGTCGGACGCCGATAAGCATGTCTGTGCTCTAAAACTTGACGAATGGTGAATATGTGGTCGATACAGCCACGACCAGGTCTGAAGCCAGCCTGATTTTCTCGTGTTTGCAGTTCACGAGTCTTAGTTAGGCGCCTGATAATTATTGAGGCTAGTATTTTAGATACTATGTTAGTCAGACTAATCCCTCTATGGTTATCGCAGGATGATTTTGACCCCTTTTTATATATTGGGACAATCAGTGATTGTGACCAGTCGGAAAAGCTTGGTAGAATAGCAAACTTCTTTCAAGCCCAAGTGGAAAATATCAGCCTCCCATATGAACCACAACAAAACATTTGACAACCGTATTGACAAACTACCACTTTGGTCGATTGACAAAATGTTCCGAGTAGTTAAAACCTCAAACCTAATGTTTCAGTCAAGTATTTTAACCACCAAATTACTGCTTTAAAGAAAAATATTATGTCACTTCGTAAATCATTAACTGTTGGTCAAAATATTCAGAATTCTTGGTTTAGATCTACAAGATAGTTGCAATCGACAACTATTGACTTCTTGTAGATATAAATCGGTTGCAGTTGAGCATGTGTACTTACGTTTCATCTTTTAAATTAAATGTCGCATCATTTTATATCTTGTATCCTGTATTCTTTATTTCTGCTAGTTCTTTCATCTAGTTATTGGTTGTTTTGTTCTTGCATCCTTTTCATGATGAGAAGTGTAGTAATCTAAATAATTTTAGTAGGACAATTAAGAGACGGAGTTGATGTCATTGTTATATCAAAATTCATAGGAGGGAATAATTGCTTCAGGTCTAAATAATTGTCCATATTTATTCTCGGTATATAATAAGAAAGTTATCATCAAGTTTCTTATTTCTAAGTGTTATGCTCCGATAAGGGTAATGCTAACTTTGGGATCTATTTATAAACCAATAATATGCATATGTTTTTTATCGTATAATTTCTAGATAACTAAACTATTCATATTCATGTCCCCTTATTATAGGCTTTTTTGACCTATGAGCTATTATTATATGATTTACTGTTCTTGAGTTATACCCAGTCTATTAATTACTGTTCCCCTCATTCATAGCCACTTTTAGCTGAATCTTGTACAAATGTTGTTTCTTATTTTATGGTACGATGTGGTCAGTTTGATTGGTATATAAACTCAGTATGTTTGAGATATAATGATTCATACCGCAAAGGCTGTTCTGGACTTAAGTGGCTGGGCTAGGCAGAAGCAGAACCGACAAGTACTCTAAACTGCTCGTACGGTTTCCGTATATCATTGGTTCGATCGATAATTCGCTGCTCTCTGATTGGCGGTTTTATCACGTTAACAGGGCATTCACTCGGCTACAAGTTATAACACTAAGTACTACAATTAGATTGGTGACCCTTACCTGCGTATCCTCAGGTTTATTAAAACTACTGAATCAGTTTTATACTGCTTGTTTTTTTATCGCCGTAACGATTGCAGATGGACATACGCAAAAACTCCCAAGAATAAAATATGCATTCGGTTGTTTTTCTGCTTGTGCATTCTGGTATGATTAAAGACAAAAGAGCCTTATACTAAATCTTTTGAATTAATATGACTGTACGGACGGAGGTTAAAGAAAACTTATCTTAGTGCGTGTACAATGTATAAAGATTAAACTTTTAAAAGGTTGTTTTAAATGAATAATGTGAATATGGTTTGTTTTATTGTTCTGTGAATATTATAAACTTACATAGGAATCCAGAGGTGCTGGTGGTGCTGATTACAGTATTCTTTGTTTCATTCTCAAAATAGCTTATATCGAGAATGTTCTAGAAAACTGTTCCATTTATTTACTCTTTCTGACTTCCGGGGTATTTGCTTTAAACTCTCTCCTTACATTTCGTATAATTATTATCAGGTCCGTCTGGCAAATTTGATGAGAGTCCTAGGATCAGATGCTGTTCAGGACCCAAGCAAAGTGGAAGCGTATGTGCGAGCCCAAATGGAATCCCGGAAACGAGCACATGAAGCTGCTAACGCTGCCCGAAAATTAACAAAAGAGCAAGCTCGTTACAAACGTATTAAGAAAATACGAGAAGACACAAGTCATGCTGTTCATGTAGCTGTTTACAGGCAATTCATTTATTTTTGTTTGAATTAGTACTATTTACTTCCAGATTTAGTTTTTGAGACACCACATCGTTATGTAAAACAATAACAGCAGCTGTATGAATGCTATGGTTATTGCCCTGAATTTATGATCACAAAGCAGAGATGTTTCTGAATTTATTATAGCCTCTATTTATCACAGGAGATATTGAGTATACTGGCTATACAATAACAACAGTAACCATTGGATGTTACTCGTTGAAATTAAAACAGGGACTGTAATAGATATATTCGAATACAGTTCCACCAGTAGTAGAAAGCTTTAGCATGAGAAAAATAGTGTGAATGATGAGCTTATGCTGATAAACCTCAAAAAAACACCTGGAATACCCGTATGTTGCACTGTCAGATCTAATATCATTATTTTATTAGTTACCACAAACTGGAATTGATGAAATTCGTCAGCAAATTAAACTATAAAAATGGTTTTGATCACTGTAACCGTTTAAATATGGTACAGGATTATTGTGTATCTTTTTTAAATTTATATATCTTCCGGTATTTCTAGTTAACATGCCTTATATTGGTACTACCTGTCTTCTTTAGAGTGAAGGATTTTTCAAATCCATCTCATCGATTCAAGGTAGAGACAAATGCCAACCAGCTACTCATGACAGGGTTAGTCGCGCTACACAGTGATTGCAATGTAGTTGTTGTGGAAGGGGGACCCAAACAACAACGAAAATTTCAACGTCTCATGCTTTGTCGAATAAAATGGCACGAAGGTAAACGTGGAACAGTTGGTAATGGGTCGGGCTCTTTCGCTCACGAAGATCGTGCTGCCACATCTGAACTAGACAATTACTCAGGATGTCGTTTAATTTGGAAAGTACGTTTAGTTGCTTGAAAACTCGCTGTTTGTTTTCTGATATTTACTTTTAAAAACTCCTTCGTCACCCTGAACATAATTAAAACTATAAATAAATGCTGCTCAGCATTACCATAGTTTCATACATTGACCATCTTTCTAGTTATTATTGATTTCGAGAAATATCGGATCCTCAACCACATGTTCAGTAAGATTAGACATACTAAGAAACTGTCTTAGCGTATTCAAAGTATTCTTGTTCTTGTTAGGTAAATAGAAGATGAGCTTAATGAAAGTAGATTGTTTAAGTTAAGAGATTCGGAACATCCTCCCTCTTTTAATGCATTGTGAAAGTGGTATGTGACTACCAATGATTCAAAAGGTATTAGTAGTATGGATGGTATTTATTTGTCACGTATTTGAGTCCTAATCTAGTTTCTTTAAGGAGAATCTCCAGCCCCTAAAACTTACTGTGAAACTGGCCACAGAAAATTTTTATAAACAGCCTCACTTCCCATCTGTGTGTAATGCAATCAGATTTTTAATCTAAATATGCGACTACGTGTTGATGTGGTGAAATACGTGTGCACTTGGTGCCAGTATTTATAAAGCTGACTACACAGCTGAATGAGTGTTTACCATGAAGTTCCATCTAGTTGTGTTATACCTCAACCTGTGAATAATAGGTGAATATGTTTTGATCGACTTAAGTGTTTTCATTCGACTGGAAATGCATGACCAATAGGTTAAAATATGTTATTTGACTTCGACACTTTTTTATGTTATCAGAGCTTTTCAGAGTCTAATGTTTTAGTTCTAACATGTACTGGTGTCTAATTTTGCTCATATTTTTTTAGGGTACAGTCAAACAACGTGCATTCGATAAAATTCAATTCAAAGCATGTCCCACAGAACTTTACGCACGCGAACAATTTCGTAAACGTGACGTGGAACACTACTGGGATCTTGCATACAGTGGAGCTATATTAGAAACTCTTGATAGCTAACATGTTTCACAAATGTTCTTTTTGAACATTGATTCTGTCGAAGATATTTTGTTTATAAAGTGGTACTTTTGGTGTAAATACAAATGTACATCTTTTCTAATGTTTTATTTAATCAGTGTTATGCAATAATGTGTTGTACAAAAGATTTCATTTTCTTTGGTAGATACCGAAATGCTTCTGAAAAGAGTAAGATGTTTCATGTTGCGTTTGAACACTGAATATTTCTGTTTTATATTAGTTGTTTTGTAAACACCTGCTGATGGTGACAAACTGTTTGTTTTGTTATAATTATGTTTTTTGTCGTTTTGAGTTCCAAATTATTCTTTTTCTTTTGTCTGTGCATACGAACGTTTTTCAATTCGTTATCTAATTCTGTTTCCTCTGCATATTGTGGACAATGTAATATTGAAGTTTATCATCTTGGGCTATCTTACTAACTGCGAGCTGTAGATATTCTGTGAACAAAACTCCGCAACCCCGCATCATTTTATTAAGTTGGGAAGTGTATTTTATAAAGTACTTTCGAAATAATAATTAGGATTCTCTGGGTTATTAGTCATTCTAGAAATCTATTTGAAATATTTATTTATGAGAATATATTAATATTGGTTTCTTATAATTTTGTTACTATTATCGTGAGTCATTGATAATATTCAATTATCCTTAGAGCATGTTTGGTTTCATTCGAAATTGAAATGTAGGCGAGAGAGGTTTGCAACACAAGTGAAAGTGGTTGCGAAATTCATGTAGCAGAAGATTCGGTTGAAGTAAACAATTTGAACAGTTCAGATGAAGTAATTTTGGACGTAACTGTATCTTCGTCTGAAATCACTGCACGTGAAAATTCTGTAGTGGCAAAAATATTCAATGTAATTTCTCCTGGTCTGCATGTTAAACAATCTGTGGTTTCTGTCTTTCGGAAAGCCAAACAACCAATTATAGTAGTGAGATGGAAAAGTTGTTCGGGCTCACCACTTATTTCTTCATTGTTGTGCAAAAAAAAATAAAATTGCCAACTCAAGTGAGTAATAATTTATCAGGATGCGAGTCGGAGGTAACGTTTTATTTCCGTTGTCGGTTATGCAACTCCGTGGTTTAGATCTGGTGTTTAATTATTCACGTTGCCTAACGATGATAAATGTGAAAGATTATTTTACTATTACGTTGATAATTTTGAGTGAATCACTATAACTAGCAGCTGAGTAATTTTGTGTATGTGAAGGGGAGACAGTTATAGTGGAAAGTTGTTTGATTGATTTCAGTGATTGTTTACTGAGTGGTAACCAGGTGAGTGGAGTTCTCCCAGCCTCTCAGTTTGTACATAATAATGTGGAGCATGCTGGGTTTATTGTGCGCAATAATTGTAGAAATAAATTTATTAGTGGTCAAGCTATACGAAGAAGACGTTAAGGTTTATCCACTTTTACGCTGAAGTTAGATACATTCATTGTAGTATGAGTATTTCACGACAAATCTAATTCCTAAAACGGCAAGTATCTGTATCTTTTATGAACAGTGGTCGCACATTTACTGCCTTTTGATCTAGTCACTAACCTTTCTTCGTCGATAAACTCAATTTCTTTGTTGTCTGTGTAATTACTGGGATGAAGCATATGAAAATTAAAGAAATGTCTGGTAAGTGTTTATCGTCATCTTTGTAAGAAATATGAAGTCATTATTTGTTCGTGTGGGTATTACACCGAATATCAAATAAGTCAACGTTTTCTAGTACGTCTAACTGTATTGTGCAAATGCTCGCTTGTTTGTATGCTTTGACCAAATCTATTGCCGAAAAACTGGGGAACTTGCTGTAATAATTGTTTTTGGTCCATTTGTGTCGTACTAATTGATCATCAACATTTCCACTCAGTTTATCATGATCGGAAAATTCAGATAAATGATTTTATAAGATTCCAGAGTATACCTTATTTCTCCGAAGAACTACTTATCAGTATGATTCTAAACATGATAGCCACATGAAGAAATACTGCGATCTAACTATCTCGGTGTCGGTGATTTTTAATAACTTTGTTTAATCTGTTTCGAGTCCGACCGTAGCATATCGAATAATAAATAATTTAAGTGTAAAATTTAGTAGTAAGGGAATTATGACAAGATAGATTCAAATACTCCTTAAAGGAATTTGTTACTCTTCTGAGTATCATTGTAATTGGGCTAGCTTTAGTATAAACACTTACCGAAGCAATCATATTTCACCCGATTTTGGGTTACAAATAGAAGCTGTTTCTTTTTAAATGTTTTTTATTAGCTTTCTCTACATTTAAATAGTACACAACTTTGTATAGCAAGTATCTCAGCAGAATACCCTTATGGCTTCTTATGTGTTAACTCCTTTATAGAGCTGTATGAGTGATTGCTGAATTATCTAATTCATTTTCAGGCCGAACCAACTTTTTTTCGTTTAATTATCAAATCATTGATTTAAACAGGGAATATTAGTATGTTGCTTTGTTTACCTGTTTGACAAATTTAATGTGTAACCAATGGATAAAACTACAAAACCGAAAATACCCGAATTAATAAGACGTGGATAATTCATCATATTAATTGTTAATGGAAATTTAATAATCTCTTGGATATGTAATGTAAATTTTTTAAATATAAACAATTAAGCCTAATGATAAACATATTCTCATACTGTGTATTGCTGCATATTTCTTCATACATGGATATTGAGAAGGCGTATCAGAAAGATATTAGGAGTTCCAAAGACCTCTAAATATTTAATAACCACATATGAATAGTCTTTCTGCATGTGTTTTCTTAACCTAGTGGGAATTCATTTAGTCCTGTTGCTTGTAACACGAAGTGATAGTGTTCTCTTTACTGGATTGTTGCAAAAATATATGACGTAGTAGGGCTTTTCGATAACACTCCTATATTTATCTGTCTTTTCATCGATCTTCTGGTTTGTTAGCTTTAGACAAATACTATTACTACGATGGTTAAAACATTTGAGTTAAGAAAATTCCTGTTTCGTCATTTATTTTCCTTTGAACCGTGTTTATGTTGAAGGCCAATAAATCTTGTTAGTCGTACAGATTTTGATTATACCATTCTTAGTTTTGATATCGTTAGCTGAAAATATCATGTGGTAATTAAGTCTGTGTCCATTGGAACAAGTTTTTTTTAAAGTTTGTGGCATTATTTTTTTTACTGTCGCTTATTGTTGAACTGTTAGGCTTGTGTATATTTGTTTTGTTCAGGATCATACTTGTGAGACGCCTTAACTATTAATCCACTTTGGATTTCCAAGTACGGTTGTTTGTATCCTATTTGACATTGGTGGTAGTATTAAAGCTTTAATGAGTCGGCACTTTCACTTGGATTTACTTTGTCCATTATATAGTATGCAAATGTGCAGTATACATCATCTCGAATGGTATCAGGAGCGATAACAAGAGATGAACAACGTAATAAGGTCGAATAAAAGCGAGAGGTTATTTGGGAATTATTTTAATTTAAGACTAAGAATGAGGTATGAATGTTACTAATATGTAAAAATGTATATTAGTCTCTTCAAATACTATCATCTTTAAATCACAGTTGGCGTTATTAATTTGATGTACACTTTTTTACTTAACAGTAATTGTCTAGATGAGAAAAGTTTGTCCGTACTGAGGATCAAGATAGATGGGGTTCAAATTTCGAGTAGTTCCATGTTAGAGCGATAAGTCTTTATGACCCAAGTTCTTATATATGTCTACCAGTTTTGCTCAGTTTATAATTCATTTGTTACTACTGTATAACGCCATCTTTAAACTAGGTAATTGACATATTTAAATTCATAAGATGGAATTTTTTCAAGATCATAATTCGACGGTTAGCCAAAAATGCGTGGACTTAACGTTTTTGATTATGTCCTAAATCCTTGAACTACTTAAAATTACACTATTCAGTTGGGTTGCTGTTGTTTATCTTGACTAATAACAATTACAGTGAATTAAGCCATGACTGAAGAAAGTCCAAATTTGTCAACATCTTTTAAAATTATAGACAAGTTGGATTAATGTTTTTGATTTATAGGTTTATTTACAACTAAGCTAAACTGTACACTTGATTTATCCTAGTTTAAAACTTCTGAGACGTAATCATTCACCCCCTTCTAGATTTTTTAAGATCAGATCAATGACCATTTACGTGTTGCAGCGATCTTGATGTCATTGAGCTAATGTACACTTTAAATTTCACTCCTTGTTTGCATTTAGCTCATCTAGTTCATTTAAACTTAAACTAAAAAAACTGTTCATGAATAATAGAATATGTCAGTGCATAATAATGGAAATGATAATTATGAATTATTTATATTTAGTTTATTTTAGGAAAATAATTCACAATAAAAACTGATCATACTACTCATATTTTGTAAAGGTGAACATATAACGAAGTTTTTACAAAAACTTATTTGAACAAATAAGATCGTGTAAAATCTTAATTCAATGTAAAAAAACGCGGGAATAATATTTAAACAACAAATGTTGATCAATTTTCATGTCATTTCAAGAATATTTAATATAAATATATTTTATCAGAAGGGGTTTTGTGGATATGATAGTAATTTTAATAGTCGAGATTGTGAATCAATTGAAGCTAGACCATCATGGAAAACCCGAAAGCACTGGACGGCTGTTTCGTCCTACTGTGGGACTCCAAAGCAGTGCGCATCCACAATCCCATCTCGTGAGATTCGAACCCAGGACCTATCAGTTTCACGCGCGAGCGCTTAACCTCTAGACCACTGAGCTGGCCGGCATCCAACGATGTTAATATCTAACTTCAACCGATCCACGAAATTGAGCAATATATCCATCATTATCTTCAGTGAGTTGATATCTCACAACAGACCTGGTTGAACTCCTAGGTTCGAATCACGAGAGATGGGATCGTGGATGCGTACGGCTAAAGAGTCCCACAATAGGACGAAACGGCCTTCCAGTGCTTTCAGGTTTTCCATGATGGTCTAGCTCCAATTGATTCATGATCTTAACTATTAAGATAAATACATTTATTATATGTTATTATGAATGGATACTTTTTTAAAATAAGGTAAATTATTGAAATTAATTTTGCAAAGTAATTCTGTTTAAATCGCTAACTTTATAAGCGCATAGAAATATTATTTTCCCCAGTGAACGAATTATTACCATTATTATTGCGGATAATAGTGTAATTTTTTGATTTGCTTTAAAAATACAATTTTCATAATTTTTTTTCTAGATTTGATTCTGGAACATAATTTTAAAGAAGCGAATAAAATAGTTTTAAATGAACGTTGACGAATCTGCACAAAAAACCCCTTCTGAGAACAGTACTTAGTTGGATACTCAATTATAATCAATTAATGAAATTAAATTTGAGTTAAAAGATTCCTGTAGTTGAAATTATATAAAATGCAAATATTTTCTTTCTTTAACTATTCTCTCCATAATTCTTATTAGTGTTAATTTGGTTTATTTGTATAGATGAAATATATCTTGTCTTATAAGCCAAGACGGATGGTGGCTACCAGCGGAATCCTAAGACGTGCGTTTCGTCCTATTTCAGGACTCATCAGCTAGATGTACATACATCCTTGAGTTAATGCTTGTAACTTAAGGAAATATCGAGGCAATACGTAGAGATTGTACATATGCCAATAAGAGATTGATCAATTACAGTCCTAAATAACAATGGGAAGATTCAAACAAACAATAGAAAAATGAATTAAAAATATCTTGTTTTATTTATCCAATCTGTTAATTATTTATTTTTGTTTTTATTTTTTTAAATTAATGAAAAAGATTTCATGCCTAAAAAAATTAAGAATAAAAGTTATTTTGAAAGCAAAAAAATGTTTTAATTCTTATTATCTGATCATTAGGCTGATTGATTTAATGAGGATTGACTTAATGAAGAAAAAAAAGATAGTTTTCAAGTTATATAAATCTTTAAGAAATATTATCAGTAGGGGTATTTGTGGAGATTTAGTATTTTCATAGTTGAAAGCGTGAGTCAATTGGAGCTAGACCACAATGGAAAACCTGGAAGCACTGGACGGCCGTTCCGTCCCATTATGGGACTCTTCAGCAGTGCACATCCACGAGCCCGCTTCACTAGATTGGAACCGAGGACCTATCAGTCTCGCTCGCGAGCACTTAACGTCTAAACCACTGAGGTGGCCGGCATCCAACGGTGTTAATGTCTAACTTCAACCATTCCACGAAATTGAGTGACACATTCACCAATGTCTTCAGTGAGTTACTATCTCCCAACACATCTGGTTGAACTCCACTGGTTACGAAACGGCCGTTCAGTGCTTCCAGGTTTTCCTTGGTGGTCTAGATTCAATTGATTCATGGTCTCAACTAATAAAATTACTATAATATCTACAAAACCCCTTCTGATATTAATATTTGTGCCGTTTAGATTGGGCATCATTTTCTAATTGAATTGAATTTACAGTAATATGTGATGATTTGTTTTTGTTAAGAAAAAAAAGTTATATAAATCGTAATTTATACGAAAGTTATTCAAAACTAGCTGTACTAAAGTAAACTTTATATTATTGTTTTAATGCTTATTTTCACATATTTAACTATGACTTGCATTAGTTACTTTGTTTTTTGCACTAAATCAATTTGTGATGCCTGTAAAATACACAATAACATCAATATTTTCTGACAGAAAAATACAATGCATACTTGATGGTTTGTTTTTATTAAGTGGACGGTAACTGATACACACTGACGAAATTTTTTCCTGATTTTATATGATATAACAGTGATAAGAAAATACGTTATTACAACATCTTGATAACTTAAATAGTTATTATTACAATATCAACTTTAGATGACTAGTACGTTTAGTACTCCCATTGTTCATGAAACATATTGACGAATAAAAGAAAATTGGGCTAAATTAGACACTTTTTCCCCTCATACCATTGTCATATATCATATTCTTTTAATTGAATGTATATTATAATTAAAACAGTGCATATATTTAGGGTCTCGAAAATATATCTGTTTAGTTTTTCCACTTGGTTATTTAATTAGACACATATGATTTGCTTTTTCTTATCGTCACATGTGAACAAGTAGTTCTAAGTTAAGTATCATTTGACAGTTTTATTTTGGTAAAGGAATATTTTACTCGACTTCACACGTTCAGCAAAGGATGAATGTCCTCGGATTACCCATCAAAGCAAGTTTACTCATTTTTATTGTTATCTATCATAAGCTTTATTTATCTTTGATCTTATTTAATCTTCGATTTCTTCGACTTTCCTTTGGCGACTGTTACCAGAACTTTTATCGTCTGAGAAAAAATACAAGAACTCTTAAGGTAGTACTTGCAACTGATAGTGTTAACTTTTTGAAAAGGTTTACTAATTTGAACAGTTTTTCCTTTGAAACTCAATATTTCTGGTGCTAATGACTTAGGAACACAGAAAAGTAATTATAGTTATCAGCATTTTGCTTTTCTTTTATTCTCGTGACTATTAAAATCACTTTGCTTCAATCAGTGATTCATTCTCAGTTTTCATAGTAAGATATCCGTACAATTCTTCGAATTCTACAAGAAGAATGCTCACTGACAAATGGAATAAGTTGTCTCACTGATAAATTTATTAATTTCATATTGTTTACTTAAGAAACACCCTAACAGTTGATTTATTCATAATGTGTTTGAAAAGAAGTTTTACAATATTTATATTGGTAAACAAGTTAGTCATTCCTATTAAAAGTGGAATATATGTCATTTGCATTGAGATGAATTTTTGAATATCTTTTTGTTTGGATAGGAACCAAATATTTCAAATTTTGATAAGTTTGTTGATGAAATATTAGATAAGATATCAACAATCCCTTTAAATATATTATATGAAAACTGTTTCAAATACTCAAAACCAGAAGGGAATCAGTCAGTTACCACAAATAAAGTTCAATATGGTGAGACGATAAGTTGTAAGTTCAATTTTTTAAGTTCAGGGGGTAATTATTTGAAAGATATTTCAAATGGAAACCGTAAAAATAACAAAAAACGTTCGTTCATAATGTCAAAAGGCTACGTAATTGGAGACGCTGACAGTACATACTGTCCACGCATAAATATTATTGAGGAACAGGATTTACCAGGTACGTTTTCGGCCTTTTGAAAATTTATAAATCAGGCAATCGTTGATATTATTATTTTTGTAACTATAATCCGTAGGAATCATTTAAACGATACAGTGGTAAATGAAATTCACACATGATACTTCGTTCCAGGTAAACGGTCAAGTGGGCTAATAATGACATTTACTCTATAGATACTTTAGTTAAAGGAATCGAAAACTAAGAAGTTTTAAATAAGACTTTCATTCTCACCAATCTTCTGTCCTTCATATTTTTATTATATTGTTAAGCTTCTCTAAATTATTATGGACAGTGATATAACTTTGTGTTTTTGCCAGTAAGAATCTTTGTTTTCATTATAACACCAGTGCACATTATTTGAGATTAACAGTATGTAACTAGGGATAGCACGGAGCACGGCACAAAGAAGAAGGTAAAACTGATGGTCATCAAAGATTTTATTCATTCAGCAAAAAGCAATGACAATGATTACACCAATCGAATTCTTTAATTTATGTTTGGAATTTACCGACATTTAATGATTAATCAACAAATGTCAAACCCATATGAAACAGTGGGAATAGAAAATTTGTATTTTACACTACGTTAATATAAAAAAAATTCTGAACGGTGTACGCAACGTATATCACACCAAATTAATACAAAATAATGTTATACTGAACAAATGTAACTTTGACTTAAACATAAGGCAAATAATATGCTGTATATATATTACATTGAATTAAAACATAGTTACGTCTTAACACAACTCCTGACAGTGTGGGTAAAATTTAAGTTCATATATTCTTACTTGGTAAAGATTATATTATTAAGAAAAAGTATGGAACTTTTCATTGTATATAAAAGTTCAGTAAGAAATGTCTCTGAAAACCTATTGATTTTAGTTCATTAGGCTTTGCTTTTGTGAACAGATTTTTCTGTTAGTAAATTTCACTTACTTACTTACTCACGCCTGTTACCCCTCATAGAGGAGCATAGGCCGCTCACCAGCATTCTCCATCCAACCCTGTCCTGGGCAATCCTTTCCAGTTCTTTCCAGTTAACATTCATCTTTTTCATATCTGCTTGTATTTCCCGGCGTAATGTGTTCTTTGGCCTTCCTTTTTTCTGTTTCCCTTCCGGATTCCAAGTTAGGGATTGCCTTGTAATTCACATTGGTGATTTCCTTAATGTGTGTCCTAGTAAATTTCAGAATTTCAGTTATTTCATGGAAGTTATGTCTGCTGCTAATCAAATTTACTTTAGACTTTGTCATAAAATTCTTAGATCATATAAGCTTTTTGTATTTCATTTACACTACACTTATGCTCTATGATTTAAGACCATCACTTCCAAAGGAAATCATTTTTTATTATAGGATGCTGGTAATTATTGATGGTTTGTTTATTTCAACTTGAACAAATTGTGTTCTTTCCTTTAACTTCTACTTAACAGACTATGCCAACAGCATAAATTGTTTCTCTGTTACGAAATAATCACCGTACTTTCCTTAGGCATCTGTATATTATTAGCATAAACCATTATACAAATATTTGTCATTATTTGAACGAATGGTTTGACAGAATTTGGGAGACAATTATGGAGAAGACATTATTGTCGAAAATTATATTTCAAATAACCTCAGCGATTGAAATTTAAATAATTCCAACGTTTCGTCCAGTAATCCTGTCCGGACTTCTCCTGTGGTTAATTTTTTGATCATTATTATAATTGACTAGTGATTTATTTTATCTATGATCCAGCAGATGTTGTATATAGAATCTAGCAAAAAGCATTGAAATTATAGTGGCTGATAGAGCCTGTTATTCATCAGTACTCAGCCCTTAAGGACCTAAATGAATAATATAGAATATTTTTGGTCATTTTGATCATTAGAAAAAATACCTCAATATAACCAAGATTCTACGATTGATTTACAAATAAAACTTACCTACTATGGAATACATATTTCAAACTACTTGCATAACATTTTAAATTCTCGAGTCAATACATTTTTAAAAATTTGTTCATGATATTCTATTATATGGGTCTTATTGATTAGGTACTTGGGTTGAGTGTAGCTTTTGTTCTAAATGGCGATATCTACCAAAAGTTTATGATCCATCTCAGCTCAATGATTCATTGTATTGTGCTTTGAATCCTAAATACTTCAAAACATTAACTGCCAATTCTACAATCAATAAATATTTGCATATTCCCTGTGGAGAATCGGAAGATTTAGGTGCTGTTAGACAGGAAGATGAGTTTATTTTTCAACATTTTTCTGTTGGATCAGTTGTTTGGGCTAAAACTCAAGGTTAGTTTATCCTGAAAATAAATGATGAATTCTCCTTTTCAAATAATCTACAACTCTAATGATATACTTTATATAAGAACTCTCGTCTAAATTAGAGCGAATAGTTTCACAGTATTTGAGCGCCGAGTTGATGTAAGACATTAAATAGAAATAATATATATTTGTAAAATCTCAGCGAATGAATTCCTTGAAAAAGCTTGGACCAGATTGCTTGGCGAAACGTTGGATTTACTACAAATTCATTCGCTGAGATTTTACAAATATACATTATTCCTATCTAATAATATACTGTTTGAAGTTTTTGCTTCCGTAACTTGCGTTTACGATTATTTCATTGACCACTGCTTTCAGTAATGCAAGAGGATCCATGTCTAAATTATTGTCGTATCACTTTATTGAGTTATACTGAAATAATGGGTTCATAACCGTTACTTCCAACCGGAAGATATCTGAAGAATTTCTTCACTAAATTATCAACTATTCTGAAAGGCAAGTAGCCGATTAATAACTGAAATGGGTGTCACTTATTGGTACATCTTGTAAGTTGAACGCTTTATTCAGATCCTAAGCTAGTTCCGTACCCCCGAGGTAGAACTATACACCGACTTGAAGACCAGAGAGAAGACTCGAGTATGAGAGAAATACTTTACTACAAGGTTCATTTATGTACAGAAAATATAGGGATTTTATAGTAATTTAAGAGTCCTTGAGTTTTACTTAAAGTTCTAGAATGCTGCTAAACATAGTAGCAGTGTATCAATCAGCCAATCAGAATCTCCACATGTGACTTTTCCATTTTCGTTATTTTAGTAACATAACTTCACTAACTTCTAATTAATCGCTGATTGGTTGAAATGCTCATTGATGACCCCTGAGCTTGTCATGTCGCTTGCGAGAAAAATACAGGGTCATCCCAACACTTATATTGAATGAAACATCACTATGCTGAACTAAAATACCCTTTGTTAGTTTTTGGTGATAGTTTCTAGATCTAACAAATGTTAGATGAGTTCCTGTTTTCGGTCAATATGTTCTTATCTAATCGACATAGCATTTGGAATGATAACCTTTGTCTACAAACAATGAGCTTAATCGGTGTTATTTGTTAGAGCCCATAATACCTTGTTGTTGACGTTTGAGACTTCAAAAGATGCCGGGTTTGATTCCTAGAGGGGGCATCAAAACTGGAAAGTAGATGCATGCATATGAAGAGTTCTAAATTGGACAAGATAAGCGACAATCCGCCTTCAATAATTACTGTCTGTTATTTCCTCTTGTATAGCTAATAAAGAAAGAAATCAAATGCATCAGAATTTTAGAACCATGTCTCATTGATGTTTACAAAACTAAGTTATATACCAATCTGTTAAATTTTTTTTTATACACGTTTTCGTGCTTACCAGCTTGCACGTTAGTTGACCTTTATTTTTGTAATTCTTTTAACTACTTATGAGTAGGCAAATATGTTTCTTCGAAAACCTTATTTTAGGCTATCCAGATTGGCCAGCAATGGTTTATTACAACAGTCAGGGAAGATACGCTGAATTTGATGCAAACAGTAAAGAAGTGACTTATTATTATATAGTATTTTTGGGCCCAAGACGTTCGGCAAAGAGTAAAATTCAGGCAAAAAGAATATATAAATTTTCCACATTTCATGAATTGGATTTAAGCAAAATTGTAAGTTCATAATTCGCTTCGTTTGAAATCTGACTATACAAGAATTGTAAGTAAGAACTCAAAATAATTTGTGGGTAATGGGAGCTATAATACCATATATTTAAAGAGAACTTCGTTGCTGAATTTCTCATATTCCAAAATTTTTCAAAGGTTATATTAACAATAGTAATGGTAATAAATAAAATATCTATTTTTTCCCATGTACTAGGTACTTGAGATTAGAATTTTGTTGTTTAAAGACAGGCGAAAAGTTATCAGTTTTCTGTATATTTTGAACAATAGACTCGTATTATTATTACCGACTTCATGGATTAAAGGTAGCATTCGACTCCGTAAATCGGGATGTTTTTCGGCAATGTGCATAAAATGGCGCACTAATGAAGTGCACAAATCATGTGACGAATTTAGTCGAACATTACTGACCAAGCCAGAGCTCACGATAATTTGTCATGGAAATTGGGAGCGTCAGGTGGGGTTTCAGGACTGGTCTCTTTTTCCACTTCTTAATTTGTGAGTAGGCATTATTTTAGAAATAACTTCTCTTTTGCCCGAGTTTTCAAGCATTGGTCTCCTACCAGGAGATTCTGACAAAATGAGGAGTCTTCCGATCGTCATGAATAACAATGCAACGATGTTTAGGATTCGTTTCTTTCTCCTTAAATAGAAAATCTTTTTTTTCGCACCTGATCTGTGTCAGCACTTAGATTAGTGATTGGAATTCAAACAGTTAAGCACGGTGGTCAGCTCACTTATTTTGTATGTTTTATAGGCCCCAGTTAGCTGTTTTTTAATAAAATCTCAACAGCCTCTCAGTTTAGTTAAGTATATACAGATACAGACTAGTTTTCTCTACTAATTAAATTAAAAGAGATTCCCTTTCTACGATCGTTGTTTTGCAGTGAGTTTCTCCAAAAATTTTGGAAGTGCTTATAGTACTAAGATTGATACAAAAATATCTATTCATCTGTATGCAACAGTTATGTAGAATTGTTTCTATGACGAAAGCTGAAAAATACCTCTTTTCGAATATATTTTAAGTGAAAGAGATTTAAAAATTAGAAGTGACTGTTATATTCCATTTCTGTTCATATTATTCCAGCCCGAACGATTCTGGAGAAGATTACAAGCTGCTGGACAAGAAGCTGAAAATGCTCTGCTATTGAGTGTAAAAGTAAAAAGGGAAAGCTTTTTACGTCATTCCAACTATTATAATTGATATTTATAATTAGTTTACACATTTTTCTATTTTCATGGCTAACTTGGTTACTCAGATAGAAAACCTATTGTTGTTGTTCATTAACTTTAACAAGTAGTTACTGAAGACCAATAAAAACTCTGTCAAACATATTGATTACTTTTCTGGACTCATAATACTTACTTTTATAATACATTAATACTTCAAAGGAAAATCTCTATCATTTAGGCTCATATCTTCTGATAAGCTAAATATTGTGATATTTGAAGTTATTGGTTTTCTCCCCCATTCATTTTACTTTTTAACGTTTCTCTATTTCTGATAAAATAATCTACTCCACTTAGTTGATTGAATAGATTCCAATATATACTTTCTAATGTCCATTATTGTAATATTCAGTGATCAGATATTTCTATGGTTGATTCTTTAATTTTTATTTCAATATAAACACTTATTTTATGAGCAAAGATAGATTGTGGCTAGCAGTGAAATCTAGAACGCTCGTTCAATCATATTTGGGACACGTTAGCTGGATGTACCTGCATCTCAGAGTTGGAATTCACTCCAGGACTCGAATCTAGTACCATTCGCCTTAAACACCATCACGTTATCAATTTAGCTACTGAGTCTTGATAGCCACTTGCTTATACAATGGGATGAAGTTTAAATTCACTTGGTATTGTTTGCTTGTTTCTTTCCAATACCAAATGAATATAAACTCTTGTTATGCAACTCTTTAACTAATATCTAAATGTTCTAAATCAGTGTAAAAAGTTTACATTTCATAAATATCATATACAAGACATAAAATGATCGAATTTTTAATCTATGCAAAAAATTACTTGATAAAATTAAGTTATTTATTACCCCTAAATGCTCTGGTATGGTCGAGAGTGGGGAAAGTTCGCTCTCCCTCTCCAAATGCTCTCACATGGCCACGCATATATAGCCTCTGCCAGGGAAGTCTTACTCATCGCCTTCTCGTGGCATTACTGTTGTTTACGAAATTGAGAGGACGAAAAGCGAATTTCCGGCGCTTTAACCGGGTTATTGAACATGGAAAGTCCACCTAGAGGAGTCGGAAAACCCCGATTCCAAACCAATGGTGCACATGGGCTGGCTCCAGTATCCTGAGGGAACAAATGGCGTATGAATCAATCGTTGGTCATCAACTACCATGGGTCTGCATCTCCTTACGATGTCCCACTGCCTTGTGGATCAGGCCTTTAGGTCAAAGGCTCCGGGTGTGGCCCCCTAAGAAAACCATCTACTTCAGTTTGGGCACCTGGGTAGTATCACAGCCCTCACACAAATCAAATGAGAATTGTGCGACGCATATATATATCTGGTGCCCTTTTGTACCAATATTTATGTGTTTAAGTAAATAAATGATAAGTCGAATACAATAGTGATAAGCAATACATTTCTATTTCAAATTTATTTTAATATTTTTTTAAATAAATAAAAAAATAATCTAAATGGTCATCTTTAAATAATTTTTTAAACCACATTTTGAAGAAACGATTGTTTTGATTTAACATAAATTTAAAGAAAAAAGAAAAAGTAGTTCAGATTGAATGCTTGTTTGTTTTTATTAAATACTTGGTTTTTGAATAACTTTTTAGGATAGGTTAACAATGTATGGATATGATCATGAATATGAAAATATTACAGTTAAGGTAAGATTAATTGTAATAAAGTTTTATTTTGATGGAGTTTTGTTCTCTCAGATGGATGGTTTGGTCGTGGAGCTTTCATCATCTTTCTGAGCGACATCATCAGTACAAAATTCGGGTTGAAGTGAAGTGTTCGGATTTCTCCGCATGTGGTTCACAGCTTGTCCTGTGCACCTCAATGTTAATTGGTTTTTGTTGACCTTAAATCTGTCATTGTTTACTTCTTTGTTTTGGTTGTATCTCTCATTGGTTTGTACTGATGATGTCGTTCAGATATATATATATATATATATATATATATATCATGAACCGATTAATGTTAGATTACTATTGAAAACTTAGAAGCACTGGACGGCAGTTTCTTCTCAGTATAAGACTCCTCAACAATGCGCATCCATGATCCTGCACATAAGATACGAACCCAGTACCTTCGGTTCATGGTCTCCATTACAGCTTAACGACCTCCATAACCCTAAACTGAAAATGTTTAGCTCCTGTGGTTTTATGTCTTATGAAATATTTGTTCAAAAAAAGGATAACATATCCTATAAAATAATTGTTTCTTTTGTTTTGTATTCTACATTCTTAATATTCTCATATAACATGAAAATACACCTTAAATTTTTATATCAATCAATTTCCATTATTCAACGAATGATTACCTCTTCATGTACTCTTCCTGTTTTAGTATGTAGTTGACATAACACGATTAGTAAAATTCCCTTAGGAATAAGGTTGCGGTACGATGACTAACTAGTTAAACCATCCTCCATGTATCAACCAGTAGGTCTCAAGTTATGGTCAGACTCCATTTAATTTGATTTAAGCAACCGCTTTATAGCTTTTAATTGGTATGTCTTAAATGTAATAAAGAAGTTTATGGAAAATGGACTAAGATGGTAGAGTAGTGTGTGCTACTGATGTCGACAGATATAAATAGTATGTGTCACCAATCGAAAGTAGAATATCTGGCGGTAGAAGGTTAAGAGAAGAGAACGAGAAAAGAGACTGTCTGGTATGGAAATGAAGGAACAACAAAGCCTGAGACAATTGATGGATATTTTGCAAATGAAGTATTTATTATAGAAGGGGTTTTGTGGAGATTTAGTATTTATCATTGTTGAAAGCGTGACTCAATTGAAGCTAGACCACCATGGTGGTCTAGCTTCAATTGAGTCACGCTTTCAACAATGATAAATGAAGTATTTACTGTATGATTCTCAGATTTTACCGAGGTATTCTGTAATGTCATATTAAAATATATCCCGTTATCCCCACCTGTTTTCTCGTACATTTTAGTAGAAGTTATTGGCAAACAATTAATTATATTACTGAGGATATTCTAGACTGAATTATTGTACAAAAGTGAGATTATATGTTAAAGTATCGGTTTCTCTTTTTCTCAAAATTACACTTTTTGTGTGCGCACAAGAGTGAGAGAATTGTTTTCATTTCTAGTGCATTAACTTAAATAATATTTATAGAGAAGTGATCAAAATTATGATTATAAAACAAAATAATTTACAAGAAATCAAAAATTACAAAAAAAAAACATATCGAAACAAAATAGATATAATTTTAATAGTTGAGATCATGAGTCAATTGAAGCTAGACCATCATGGAAAACCTGGAATTACTGGACGGCCGTTTCGTCTTATTGTGGGACTCCTCAGCAGTACGCATCCTCAATCCAACCCGCGGAATTCGAACCAGGACCTATCAGTTTCGCGCGAGAGCGCTTAACCACTAGACCACTGAGCCGGTATCCAACGGTGTTAATGTCTAACTTCAACCAATCCACGAAATTGAGTGACACATCCACCGTTGTCTTTAGTGAGTTGATATCTCACAACAGACCTGATTAAACTCCACTGGTCACTGCTTCTCATTAAAACTCCAGGAAATACCTCTTGAAGCCAGTCACTAGTGAGCATTTTCAGATGATCATTATCAACAATCCTTAAAACGGTAAAACATTTTATTATTTCTAAAAAAATTATTTGAAATTGTCAGAAAAAATGTGTAAATTTCATGAAAATAAAAAAGCGGGAAAGAGAATTCAGTCTTTACTTTAATCGATTTTGATTTAATTTAGAAATATAGAATGAAGTCCTAGCAATCTAATAGTATTGTCCACATAAATAACTATGCTAAATTAATTTCTAGTTATTTTCATGTAGAGTTTCGAATAAAACTAAAATTGATTTCTTGATTAAAATTTATTCTTTAGTAACCTTTAAGTTCATTTTTATGTTTTGGATCAGTAACATATTGGTTGTGATGCATTCAACTTTAGTTAACTAGGTAGGAAGTTGAAGTTTCACTCCACCAAATTCAGTTTGTATGATCTGGTAGTATCACTATCCTTTACACATAATTTATGGTCTACAGTCGAATACATGAATCTGTAGGTGATAAATGAATTATATTAATCCAGAACTTATGTATCGATTGGTAGATCTCAACCAAACAGATAGTGTAATCTTAAGGTTTCCAGTGGGGATGAATTTTTTATTTAAGTAAAATGAGAAATATTATCTTTATGATAAGTTTCTCATTCTTAGAGTTTAAGTGAAAATAATAGTTCAAAAATCATCAAATTACTTTTTTAATAAAAAAAATTAAAGCTTATTACTTAAACAGAGAAAATCTATTCATTCATATAATTCAGTAAGGAGTATAAAATAATTCTGAAAAGTGTTGAACAATCAATTAAAAAACACCCTCAACCAAACAATCAAACATATGAATTCAAACAGAATGAATCAATTTTATGAAGTAAAATGTACAAAATCATTCATTTATGAAGACAACACAATCCAATTAGCTTACAATGTTTTTTAGTTGCGTACTTATACACATTATCCCTCGTGGAGGTTAAGTAACCGACGATGGTTCTCTAGCCTACTTTATCCTGAAATTCATCTTAATGTTAACATAATTAATATTTCAATCAAAACATATGATTTTATGTTTTGAATTGGTCACACTTAATTTGTTGAAAAGAGTATATAAAACAAATGTTTCAGTCATTGATGGAAGAAATCACTATTACTTTAGAAATTCAATTCTTTCGTAGAACAGAATTTTTGATTGTAGAATATAGAAAAATACATCTAGTCGCTTACGATGTGATATCAGTCTACCCTTGCCTCCAAATCCCCTGGTACGGCAGAGGATGGGGAGAGTCAGCTCTCCCTCTCAAAATACTCTTACATAGCCAATACCAGGAAAGTCCTATTCACTGCCTTCTCGCAATGAAGGTGTTTTTCACGAGATTGAGGACGAAAATCGAATGTCCGGTGCTTTAACCGGGTTGGTGGACACGGAAAGTCCACATTGGGGAGTTGGAAAACCCTCATTCCAAACCAATGGTGTACATGGAATCCAGTATCCTGAGGGAAAAAAGCATATGAACTTATTGTTGGTCACCGACTACCATGGAACCACATCTCCTGACGTTTCCCTACTTCCTTGTGGATTAGACCTTTAGGTCAAAGACTGAGGGTGTAGCCCCCTAAGAAAACCACCTTTTACGGTTTGCATGACCGGGCAGTATCTCATCCCTTGCACAAATCGAATAATGAAGTGTGGCGAATATAATATTTGGTGCCTCCTTGTATCAATGTTTATGTGTTTAAATAAAATAAATAAATAACACTATATGCTTCAGTTGACTCAGTGTTACTGGAGAATCGACTGGTGTTGTCTCTAGAAGAAAAGAAACAGAAATATTACAGTGTATACCATAATAATTATGTCCATAAGCAAAATTAAGAAACGTTAATAGGGTTATCAATACCAATATTAAACTCAATTTATTTTTCATATCGAATCGTAGGCAAATTATAAATATCAATATTATTTATACTACCACACTAACCATACTACAAATCATATGTGAAGTTAATTCAAAAAATACTATTAATAATTCATGGGAACAATCTAGTATTAAAGACTTCAAATTAAATGGTCAGTAGCTGACTGACTGACTGAAAGCAAGGGATATCTATTCGAATTTATCAAAACATAATGATCAATAAAATGGAAAACATAATAGTACAGGATTAAATACGCTTTTTGACGTTAAATAAATGATGTTTAAAAGATTATCATTTAACTAAATTATGGTTAAATAAAACAATCATATAATATTCTGTATAAAATTAACAAATGTAATACCTGAAGTATAGACGATCATTTAAACATACAAATAACTGTCAACATTAGCTATTTGATGCTTGAGTACTTTATCAATTAAATAGATTTCACTTTGTGAATTTGGTGCTGAGTAGATCGGGTTGTAGAAAATTTACATTTATCAAATATCATTTATGTATAAACCTGTATACGAATTTTTAAAAAAAAACCCATAAATTTCCATTTTAATGACATATACTAATTTATGTTCTAGTGTTCCATACCTAACACTATTTTTAAAATCTTTTTTCACTATTAATTCAATAACATAGCTAATAAATAATAAATTGGTTGCTATTAGCATCTATATTGTTATTTGAGTGAATAGATTAGGTTATATTCATGCAACGATATACAGTAATATTTACATACATACTAACATCTCATTGATTATGGGCATTTTAGAAGATGGTAATTATTAGTTATTGATCAAGTAACATAATAGATTTGAAATATCATTCCATTATTACAATACCATATACTGACACTGTTATATTGAAAGTGTAATGATGGTAATCCATTGTACATATTTCTTTTTACCATTTAATCGTTTTGCATTCAATTTTGTTTCCTCTCAATTGAAGGTCGTTCTGTATTCTGTTATGAGTATGATTTTGTGGATATAATAAGTTTACATCACATAGTTTTTATTTACTTTTATACAGTAACAGTTAAACAGGTACTCGAGAAAAAAATGTTATTGTGCTTATTACTTAATATAGAAACTGTTTGCTATCCAGCTGGGGTCCAATGAGTTTCGCTGATTCCAAGTACTGCCAGTTTGTATCTCCTCATTTCCAATGCTATTTGACTGGTCTTCCCTGTCTATCACATTGTCCGGACATTCTATGTACCTATAAAAATTGTTAATTGGGTTGTTAGAAGGGGCATCGGCCTCGTGACTTCCGAAAAAATCTCGGCTTTCAAACTGAGTCGTCATAACTCTTCCTTCAACTCTTAGGGCAGAGTTTAAATGGTTTGAATTATTTTTTCTGGTTAGTATTTTGTTAACGGGTTAGTTTTCTACGGGATGGGGTCGCTAACCCCATGCCTAACCCTCTTCCTTTACTTGGTCTTGAGACCGGCAGTAACTCTAGAAGAGCTACAGACGGAGTTACTTCTTAATCTAAGGAGTGCAAACTTAAATGTTTAACTGTCAAGAGATTGCTGGACCGATAATAATGGAATGTTATTCACTTCCCTTACTCGTCTCGACTAAACGTTTCACGTTAATTTTCATTCATTATCTGTCAACTGCTAGGCTTCTAGTCAGGGTAAAAAGGCTTCAAGACCTTATCAAAAGAAAATACAAACTATTTCAGATGACGTTAAGCAAAAAAGAGTTTACAAAAGAAAAATACCACGAATTCATCCTTGTTCAATAAGTGAAAGTTCATACAGACTAATTGATTGTCAATCGGATGCTAATTCTAATCATACATCAAATGTGATCACATCCAGTAAAGAGGTAAGTGTTCGAATGTATATCCATAAAGATTATTATCTGCGTAAAACATTTTTTGTACTCCATTTATAATTATTATGATAGGTGAACTATGTTCTATCTTTTTAGTTTTCGTTTCATTTAGTTTGAAATTATTTTTGGTTGATCCATTCAGATTAGATAACATGATACTTCAATTGTAAGCAAAGATGGATAGTGGCTAGAAGTGGAATCCAGTACGCGTGTTTCGTCCTATTTGGGACTTGTCAGCTGGATGTACCCGCATCTCAGAGTTGATATTCACTCTTTGACTCGAACCCAGTACCTTTCGCTTCAAACGCCATTGCGTTATCCACTCAGCGAAAGGTGCTGGGTTGGAGTCTCAGAGTGAACACCATTTCCGAGATGCTGGCACATCCAGCTGACGAGTCTCAAATAGGACGAAACGCGCGTCAAACTGGATTCCACTGCTAGCTACTATCCATCTTTGCTTACAATGTTTGTGGATTAAGGCAATATCGAGGCAATACGCACAGTATGCACATATGCCAATTAGAGACTGACCAGCTGCAGTTCTAAACATCGATGCGAAGATTCAAACAAACAATACTAAATGGATGATACTTCAATGTTTGTTATATATTCCTTTTTTAAACTAATTTTTAGCAGATTAAGAATGCTAGTTTTTTTTGGGGGGTGTACTTGGCATTTATCAATAAGTAGTAAAAATAAGTTATAAACAGTTTAAAATCAAAATTTTATACCTTTGTTTGCTTCATTTCAGAACCCTTCTAATACAATTTTAGAAGATCATACAAATCCCCACAAAGGAATACCTGTAAGTAATCATATATTTGATGATGAACATCATCAAGAATCAAATCATGTTCCATTGAATAATAGTTCCATAGAATATCAACAATTAGATATTTCATTAAAAAGTAATTTATCAGCAAAATTAAATGATACAACATTCGATATGCAATATAATACTACTGATATGAATGTTGATAATGATGTAATATTTGATGATGATATCATAAGCAATACATGCCAAAAAATGATCAATAATGATCAAATTAATTCTATTGATTGTTATTCACCTAGTTTTCTTAAACCAATTGAATGTGATCAACTAATGAAAGAGTTAATATGTCCCATTGATATTTGTTCAAATCCTAATATTGAAACAACTGATTGCCAAATAAGTAATACCGAATGTTCAGGACAGAATAATCTATCCATAGATAATTATGAAAATAATGAACCTAAAAGTAATTTGGTAAGAAATCAGAATTATTTCAAACTTACTTATAATGATCTATCAATCTATTCCAATAATGTTACTGTCAATGTGAATGATATCTTGATATCTTCAGATCATACTAATAAGAATACAATTCAACAATTGTCATTAAATTATAATAAAAAGATTTTATATGAAAACATTCCATTCTATTATCAATATTTTGGAAGTAATGAACCTTAATTCTAAATATAACGTTTTATATAAAAGAATAATTAATATAATGGTTTTAGAAAAGATACGCAAAGTTGTTTTATATATACATTGTGTAATTGTTATAACTTATGGCCGAGTGGATACCTTGTTAACGTATGAGGTGATAAAATTGCCAATTAGAGAGCAGCGAGTTATCGATTGGAACAGTGATACACGGAAACTGAATGATCAGTCTAGAGTACTTGTCGGTCCTGCTTCTGCCTAGCCCAGCCAGTTAAGTCCAGAACAGCCTCTGTGGTATGAATCATTATATTTCAAACATACTGAGTTTATATACCAATCAAACTGACCACATCGTATCAATAAAATAGAATATAACATTTGTACAAGATTCAGCCAAATATGGCTGTGAATATGGGAGGCAGTAATTAATAGACTAGGGATAACTGAAGAATGGTGTATCGTATAACAGTAGTTTATAATTCAAAATAAAGCTTATAATAAGGGGGGACACGAATATGAATAGTTTAGTTATTTAGCGATTATACGATAAAAAGTATATGCATATTATAGGTTCATAAATAGATCCCAAAGTTACCATTCATTATCCTTATTGAGACATAACAGAAGTATACTCTAGTTGTACATAGTAAACCTGTTTATATGGAAGCATTTAGGTAGTTTTACATTGAATCTATCAAAAAACGTTTATTTACGATTTTTTATTGGATATAGAAAAGTATTGATGTGTTAATACATACTACACGATACAAAATAACACTTCGGGAAGACTATAATTTATGACAAACTTTAAGTTACGCTAAAGTGACCTTTAGAATGTCCACCTACTACTACTTACACCCGTTACCAATCGTGGAAGAGCATAAGCCGCCCACCAGCATTCTCCATCCAATTCTGTCCTGATCGATCCTCTTCTGTAGCTATTCATCCTTTTCATGTTTGTTTCCAATTTTCGACGCAGTGTGTTCTTTGGTCCACCACTTTTCCGTTAACTTTCAGGATTCCAAGTTAGCGTTTGTCTCGTGATGCAGTTAGGTGATTTCCTTAATGTATGACCTAACCACTTCCAAAGTCTTTTCCTAATTTCCTCTTGATCTGTAAGCTAGTTTGTTCTCTCCCACAGTAGGCTGTTGCTGATAATATCTGGTCCATCTGCTAACCAGGATTAAATGAGGGTTATAAAGCAGTGTGAGAAATTAAAATTATGATTCATAGTTGATGGTTAGGGTTAGCAACTAGATTTACGGCTTTCATCACGAACTGATATAAGCTAAAATGTCAAAATGCTATTTAACCAAATAGGTGAATGAGTTTCGCGCAAAAATCCAAGACTTGTTATTTGATGTCTGATAAGCTCGTCCGTAGATTGAAGTCTCTCTAACACTTTTTATAACCTAAATATTTAAGAAGTTGGTAGTGTCTTTGCAAATCTCCCAAATCTTCTGAGTTTATAATTGTCTATTTCACAACAAAACAGTTTCAATATCGTACATTAAAATAACTAATTCATAACAGAATATTCAATGGTTCATTGTTCCCAAACATTGCGAAAGTTTTAGTGAAAAGCATTGTTCGATTGCTTTCATATTAGTCAACTTCGGAAAAATATGATTGTACTGTTCTTAATAGCATATTGCTTTCATTTTTCAGCTGTTTTAATTCCTGATTATAATCTATTGTATTTTTAATGTAAGACAGAATAAATATTAACCTAGTAGATAAGATTCAACAATTTATCTGTATTCAGATGTTATCGAATATAATACCTCTTCGATTGAATCATGAAACTTTATCTAGTTAGGATCATGAGTCAATTGAAGCTAGACCATCATCGAAAACCTGGAAGCACTGGATGGCTGTTTCGTCCTATTGTGGGGCTCCACAGCAGTGCGCATTCACGATCGCGCCTCTCGAGATTCGAACCCAGGACCTACCAGTCTCGCGCCAGAGCACTTAAACGATAGACCGCTGAGGTGACCGGCATCCAACGATGTTAATGTCTAACCTTAACCAATCCACGAAATTGCGCGACCAACCTCCATTGTGCTGAGGTAGATACCTTTCTCTACCTGACATGGATTAGCCCCACTGGCCACGACTTCTCACTAGAACTCCTGGAATTACCTCATGGAGCCAGTCACTAGTGAGCATATGATCATTGTCACAAGGGGTTTTGTGGAGATTTTAGTAATTTTATATAGTTAAGATCATGAGTCAATTGGAAAACCTGGAAGCACTGGACGACCTTTTCATCCTATTGTGGGACTCCTTAATTGACTCATGATCTTAAATATATAAAATTACTAAAATCTCCACAAAACCCCTCCTTGTGAATCATGAAACGTCATAACAATGATCTACAATATATTTCCAAAATAACCCATTTTATTTACTTAAAGATAACACATTTTACACGAAGTTAATCGAAATACAATACACAAAAATGGCAAAACAATACAATTTATAGATGTTACATATATATATATAAGTGTATTATATAACATTTAATAAATCTGTTTATTTTTTAAGTAGCTTAGTGTAAGTGAACTTTATTGTTTCCTTATCTTATAGGTAAGAAAACAAAAGTACAACTAAAAAAATTTTTTTCTTGAAAAACAAAAAAGGGTATATCACAAACATTTAGGTTCTCTATTAGTTTGACTATATATACTGCCATATAGTCCACTCTTATTCAAAGTATATATATATTGTTTTGATGATATTTTCTTAATGAACCTCCTTCCCCCAAAAAAAAACAATCAGTTTCTAACTTTTTATTTTCCTCATGAAATTTTCATTCAACAAAGAGAAGTATGAAGAAAAGAAGAAAAAAACAGTTTTCATTGGTAACTCAGGGTTAATATTCATTCTCCTCCCCTTTTTTTATACTGTCATATATAAATTAAATATTCTTTTTGTTGTTGTTGTTGCTATCGTCATTTAAGATATGAAAGTTTTATAATTTTTGTTTTCATTTAAAGTTGTTTATAACAAGTAGAATTGTTAAAAATAATTTTATCATTTATTTATTACAACAATTATACGGTAATATTCATCTTTCTATTTACTTTAACTTATTAACCTTGATTATCACTCATGGTTTTGTATGTTCTTTTTAATCACTATGGTAACAAAATATCAAGTGTAATAAATAATGTTTCTATATATATATATATATATATATATATATATATATATATATATATATATATATATATATATATATATATATATATGATTATTCATGATTATTATCGGTTACCATTATTATTATTATTTATTTGTTTATTTGAACTATATATTGGTATTTTATAAATAAAATTTGTTTGTGATTGATTTAAATCATTATTTGTTGAATTTAATGATGATACAATTGATGATGAATTTGTATTATTCATTGAAGTCAATGGTAAAATTTTTATACCAGTTGGTGAATTCATATTAGAAGAATATGAAGATGAATTTGATTGTAATTCATTATGATCTTGTTCTAATGATGGAAGTAAATTTTTATGAGTTTCACAAATTTCAGGATCATTTAAAGAATCTTAAAGAAGAGGGAAAAAAAGAGAGTTACAATGATGATTATGAACATAACTTTTATTAAAGTTTTAATTGTATCTCTATATCTAGTGTTTTAGTGAAAAAGTTTGTTATTGCTGATTGAACGCGATATTCGGATCCTAAGCTAGTCTCGTAACCTTCAAGCTAGAACTACACAGCGAATTGAACACTAGAGAAAAGGCGCAAAATATACGAGAAGCACTTTACTCCAAAGATTCATTTATGTACAGAAAATATAAGGTTTTTATAGTATTTTAGAAGTCCTTTGGGTTTTCCTGAAAATTCAAGAATACTACTAAACATTGTAGCACTGTAGTAATCAGCCAATCAGAACCTCTACATGTAGCCTTTCGTTTTACGCCATGTTTCTAATAAAACTTCTAATCAAGCGCTGATTGTATAAAATGCTTCTTAATGTTTCCTGAGCTTGTTATTTCTATTGCGAGAAGGTTTCTGGATCGCCTCAACAATTGTCTAAAGATATAAGATATAAATTTATTAGAAGTTTCGAGCGTTATTGTACTTGATATACTTATAAATTTTAAATTAGTCGAAGGCATTTTCCTGTTTAAGATATATCATTAAGTGATTGTGAGAAATTGTCAAGGGAGTGATTGTCACCAACTAACATGGCTTTTCCACAATTTTGAGAAAGGGTTAATGCCTGTGACATTCAGTATCACATTCAGAACTATTCTAGGTAGGAGAAAATTATTTACACCTTTAGATTATTAAGTAGTACTTAGTTTAAATTTAACTGATTGCGTATCATAAATTAAACTCTAGGTGTCGATGATACATGGTACTTTTATAAATCGTTATAGTCATCTTCAAGAGTGTACTACTTAAAATCTTACTATCCATAAAAACATATTCTGTTTGGTCAGGTTACACAAATCATTGGTATCTACTATAAGGGTTGTAGTTACTTTTAAAACTTCTCTAGAGATCTAGATAATAATACGTTTTTTATGTGAGCATGAAGTAATATAATGAGATCTAACTGTTGTGGAGTTAAAGTTTCATTAGTATTTGAATTATTGATACTTCAGTGCATAATTACAGATGTGGTGTATGCTACTTACGTCTGTCAACATAAGTAGTATGTAACACTAATCAGAAGTTGAATGCCTGATAGCAGAAGGTTGACAAAATCGAATCGAAGAGAACGGGAATATAAACAAGTAGGAATGATAAATCGGAAGAACTATACAGAATGTGAAGGACGATTGATGGAAGATTCGCAAATCAAGCATTTAATGTATGGTTCTCATACTTGACGAAGATATTTTGTAATTTTGTATTACACAATAAATTGGTTGTCCCCATCTGAGTGCTCGTCCACTTCACAGTGACTGTCATTTCAGTTGACTGTAAGAAAGCGTCAGAAATAACTTTAGATAATTTGATACAATAATTTAACTTTTGTCTTGTTGGAGTTATCTTATCACTGAGCTGTTATGCTCTTGCGTCTCCATCAGTTGGATTACAAGTTCACCCTCCGTTCTCAGATATAATTTTTAATTCCGAAGTTAACTTTTCACAAGTAGTCATTATTAGTTAGTTTATTGTATAGATATGACATAGAGAGCAATATTTCTTACGAGTTGTTAAGCTGACACAAGGAAACAAAACTGCTAGTTACTATTTGTCATTTCAATTACTTAAGTCTATAATGTATATTTGTAGACTGGTGAATTGGACTGCAATTAAACAATTATATTCAATGACCCTATTGATGCAATAAGAAAATTGAGATGCATTCATTCGAATATATACAAATATCAGTTAACAAGTCAAATGATAGATGACTGCAACGTCTATAAAATTCTTCGAAATTTAATAGGAATTATGAATAATTAAAATAGTTTACCCAGTTGATCAATAGAAACTGATACGCTTAGAAATGTTTTGAAGGCAGAAGCTTCCAGCTACTATTTATTTTAGGTATTGAATCTCACTATAGATCTAAGCATGAGGACTTTGTGAGATTTAAACATAATGATTAAGTACAACATCATTCTATAAAATTAAACACTAATGTTTATCATATATCATCGTTTATGAGGCAAAACCATTCAACAGTTGTTAAGCCCTAGTTTAATGCTCATCAGCAGTGAAACTCCATGACCTCAAAAGTAAATAAATAACAAAGTAATACTGTGGTGTGCGTTACTGATATCCACATAAGTAGTATATAACGATGATCGGTCATTGAATGTATTTCAGTAGAAGATCGGTAAGATAAGAACGGGAACGGCATGTAATCGCTACGAAAATGCATGAACAATTTAAAATCGGAGACTATGGAAGGATGTTTGCAGAAGGAACAGTTAAATTGAGACAATTGATGATGATTTTGCAAATTAACTGTTCACTATATGGTTCTCATATTTTAATGAGATATTCTGTAATGTTGTGCTTAAATACAATCTATTGTCTCCAACTAGTGTTCTGTTCACTACAATACAAATGCTAAAAAAAAACTGTTTTTTAAGGCCTTGAATGGTTATTTTATGTAGACAATAATGTTACAGCTATTCTTATTTTAATAATTCAACATTTGGTAATGATTACTTACCATTGGTTTGGTGATTGTCGTCTAAATTTAAGTGATCTACTGCTTGTATTACAGACTTTATCTCATTTTGTTTTGTATTGTTATCATTACTAGTATTACTTGTAACGGCATTATTATTGATTGTTGGACTCGTTTTATAATCCAATGTTTCTGAAGTCGATGTAAAGTATATGTCACCCTTAGAAAACAAACAAAATATATGAGTTAAATCAGAAAAATATCACTGATGAATTTCAGTTGGCAGTTCAAGTTATGTTAGGTTTATAGTAAGCCCGTTGAATTTTTTGTTACCTACTTGCTGTATTATAAACATTGAACCCACTATGTAAAAGTATATGAACTTCATTGAAAGCGTGTAGCGCAACATCAATCTTTGACTATCATCCCCCCATCGGTTGTAAACGCAATCCATAAATTAACCACAATTGATCAATACTCATCGAATACGTACAAAGTTTTCGACATTTTGTTAACTCACACACATATATCAGTGTTCTTTACCTCTTGTGTGCTTGTGGATTTTATTAATTATTAACAATACAATATCTCAAGAACATGTTCTAGCTTCTGAATATTCTCAAGTAAATTGATAGTGCTACTAGGGGAATATGCCTGCTAAATATGTTTGGTGAATGGGGCATCATATGTTGTAGTCAATGAAAGAGGAATTAACATATAAAGGTTGGCTTAAACATTTTATTGAAAGATAATAAAAACAAAAGTTGAATAAATGCATATAAACTTAAATAATTATTGGAAAATACTTTTTCGATTGTTACTTTAATTGTAGTGCATCTTCTTATAACAAAGAAATCTGACTGCGCCAATGATCATCTTCATAACTGTAAATCGATTGAAATTTGGCATGTACACACAAATACCTAGTTCTCGAAAATTCCAATCAAAAATCTTCTAATTTCATGTAGGATTACTATCAACCACTCTCTGAAAATGACGTGAAGTGATCTTTTGTTGAACATAGCTCGCTGTTCGTTTAAACTCTAATGAATTTAAATAATTACAGATAGGTGGTCTACTAAAGAATAATCAGAACCACGATAACAGGCTTCACTTTTACATTGCCTAGGAAGTTGAAGGTTGAATCGAATAAATTTCATTAAAGTGAGTTAAGAAGGCGAAGAATTCTTCTAAAGGAAAGAGATATCGAAATGTGTTTATGTTCACAAACACTTAACTGTCCATAATCAAGGACCGAGTGTTATGCATTGGATTCTGAGCGAAAAATGAACAAACCGTATGAGAAATTAGAGACAAAAGGTGAAACAAATCAAACGTATACAGGAATTTGCGGAGATTGTAGAATTTCTAACGTTTAAATCGTGAACTGTCTTTAACTAAACAGCAAGAAAAAACCTGGAAGCACTAAACGGATTTTTCGTCGTAGTTTAAGACTCTCCAACAGTTACCATCCACGAGCCTGCACTCAGGAATCAAACCTAGGATTTCCGGTCTAGCTCACGAATGCTTAACTTCTAGACCATCAAGCTAGTATCCAATTTTGTCTACTTTCAACCAATTTATGATATCGCGGAACCATCGACAGTTGCCTACGGTGAATAACTATCACAATCGTCTCAGTGATCTGGAGGTTAGGCGTTCGTGAGCGAGACCGAAGGTGCTGGGTTTGATTTTTTGAATGCAACTCGTAGATGACCACTGCTGGGGAGTCACATACTACGATGAAACGTCCGTCTAGTGCTTCCAGGTTTTCAATGGTGGTTAAGATAACATTACTTCGTGATTTAAACCGTCAGAAAATCAATGTTAAGAAATTTAAAATTAAAAAATCAGTGAAAAACGTGACATACCTTAACAGTAATCAATCGACAATCAGTTACAAGCATTGTATGCACTAAGCTTCCATTAATTAATAAACGTATTTCAATTGCAGATGGGTTAAATCCGAAAATGTATGGAAAGCACACAGCTGGAAAGTTAATATTGAAAAAAATAACTTGGAAGTAGAGTTTGTAAAACTATCCTTTTTTAACTCATCAAATCACGAGTTATGAGCCTCACTATCAAGAGTAGTTGTAATCAGATGTTTGGTATTTTCGCTCTCTGACTAGAGGATTGAGGAAATGAGAACTTCCAAAAGGGATTAATCGTGAGGTGAATGAAGTTTCAAAATTAGTGAATTTATCATCTGCGTCGAAAATAAGTACCCAACAATGTGGTCTAAGTATTAAGGCTTTAAGTAATTTTATATTAAGCGTGGAAAAAAGAGCCAAGAAACAAATACTGAACTCTCTTACAATTGGCTGATCACTGGGTAGTGACCAATGTCATGGCTTTCTTAATGGTGATCGAATTCTGTCAATCAAGTTGTAACGTGACCACTAGACTATGTGACTAGAGAAGACCTGACATACATTACGTTGGTCATTATCCAGTGATCAATCAATTGTAAATATATCCCAGTTCTATAGGAGGTCAGTCGCAGCCCGGATAGCTGAGTGGTATTGTCTCTGATTGTCGAGCTTGGGGATACGGGATCAAATCTACCAGGAAGTATTATTTACCGCAAGATCACAGGTACACCTTACTGACAATTGCCAAATAGCACGAAACCTAGGTCCAGGGTTCATTGTCGACTACATCCAACCACCACCTTACACAGAGCCCCCTTATCCACAAGCACAAAATATTAGTGTCGTAAATAATTAGGTTTGAGGTCGATCTTGTATACTGCAACATTCCTCACAGTTACATGATTTATTTATAAAATTTGATGTAGGCTCTGTCCGTCACTGAAATTTGTGATATTGTCCAGAACAAATACAAACCTCAGTTAAATCGTCCAGGTCAGAAAACTCTACAATATCAAATAAGTGTATGAGTTATGCAATTTGGTAGTACAACCCAGATGTTTGTGAATGAGATCTGTACATCATGCATTCGTTGGTGTCCAAGTAATGGGAAGCTGTTATATAATTCATAGCACTAAAAATCTTGAATATAATTGATAAAAAATGTTAAAACTGAAAAGTTTAGTTTTATAAGGCTTTTGAAGGAAAGAGATATTTTCAATGTGTTAATTCCTATTATATGTCCAATAAACAGTAATATTTAACTGATTCCTCTCAATGAATGTGAGTACCTTTCCTTTTTCGGCTATAAGATATTGAAATTGCAAAAAAGTGAATAATTTTCAGTGATAACGAATTTACCATAATACTGATTATTAAACTTTTTCTTACCAACTTGTTGTGGTTCGAATGTCCAAGCAAAATCACAATCACTGGTTTTCACCTTTTCTTCACATGTTAAATTTAAATTCATGGAATTGAATGATGGTTCGGGAGAACAACTTCTAGCCATTGATGATCCACTTGTTGTTGAACTTGGGGAATCTATTGAACTAGATCCTTGTACTTGAGATAATGCCGGTGATGATTTATTTGTATTTATCTCCATTGATGACTTCATACTCCAGTTAAAGTTTAAATCAATCGGGCTGTTAGTAGGGATCGGTTGACGACAACTACTAATACCAGGTGTAATTAGGGAAAGTTTTTGAAAATGACATGTTCCTATAATGAATTTTATTTTTACAAATAAAAATTGATGAAAGTAAAGTATAAAAATTCTTAAAGAAAAAATGTGATTTTCAGTTAAATTTAGATAGGGGCTAGCTGTGGAATTCTAAACTTGCGTTCCGTCCTAAATACTACTCAACAGCTGCATGCATCTGTATCTCAATGTTGACGTAAATACTCAAACTGGAATCAAGTATTTCCTCTCAGAAAACTAACGAGTTATCCGCTGATCTACCAAGCTCAAACAGACAACAACTTTTAATTTGAAGTTTATTTATAGAGTTTTATGAAGGTTGGTATTTCTCTGGAAGCCATCAGATAATTTATCTACCTTGTCTGTTACTTAGTAGTCACATATTTAAAGGAGATAATCTTGAAATATGGAGATGAATCAACATCAGTTAACTCTAAAACCAATGCTATAGACTATCCCAGTACAAGTTCCATTAAATAAAATCCATACGCGTTGCGCAAGTCAGTGTCTATCTGAGTTCAGTAGGTCAGCAGATAACGCGTCGATCGTTTGAAGCAAAAGATACTGTGGTTAAGTCTCATTATGAATATCAATAGTTTGATGCAGGTACATACAACTAACGAGTCTTAGATACAATGAGTCACATATCCTGAATTTCATTCTTAGACACTAACTATAATAAGAAACTTACGACTGAATAGCACTATCGAGATAATCTACACGGTATGTATATATACCACAAGAGACTGAATAATTACATTCCTTAACATCAGTGACGGAAAAAAATATGGACATTTGCAAATAACAATAGCTTATAAGTAAGGATGGAATTCAGGACGCAATTTTCGTCCTATTTTGGACTCGTTAGCTGGATATGCCTGAATCTCAGAGTTGATATTCACTCCTGAATTCCACTGCTAGCCACTATCCATCTTTGCTTATAAAGATTGTTAATTAAGACAATATCAAGGCAATACGCACAGTATGCATATGTGCCAATAAAAGTCTGATCAATTGCAGTCCTAATCAACAATGGGAAGATTAAATTATACAATGCTAAGTGAATTTATGTATAGTATTATTTCAGTCGTAAAATGTCTCATAGTGTACAAATGAAAACTTGCTTTAAACAAAATAGAATAATTCATTTACTTGTGAAGCAAAGTAGCAGTTCGTGTTCATCATCAGCCCATAATTCCAATGCAGAAACAACTTGATTTCGACTACCTTCAGTACGAAATAATTGTGTTGTTTCTTTACTTCGTTCATCTAATAAAATAAATTGATTTCTATATCCTACACATAGTTTCCCACCGGGGATACCTTCAACAAAACTCAAAGTTTGTATTGAATCAACCATATGAACTTCCTATAATAAAAAAGTTCGTTCAGAATAAAATGCTGAATAAATTGTCTTTACTGAAAACGTTCTTATTGATTATTACATTTATAATAAGTAAACTTGAATATTACATAGAAACCTCATAAATGTATTTTAAGTTTTTCAATACATTAAAAATGATTATCATCAAAGCTCCGAGATAGGAATTAGAAATCTTACGATTTGGGGATGACAAAATTATAATGCTGATGTGTGTAAAAGTACGAAGCCTCTGTTCAGAGTATTTTTTCAATTTTATACAGTTGAGATCATGAGTCAATTGAAGCTAAACCACCATGGAAAGCCTGGAAGCACTGGAAGGCCATCCCGTCCTATTGTGGGACTCATTAGCAGTGCGCATCCCCGACCCCAACTCGCGAGATTAGAACCCAGGACATATCAGTCTCGCGTCAGATCACTTAACCGATAGACCACTGAGCTGGTCAGCATCCAGCGGTGTTAACGTCTAACAACAAAGTTAGTACACCAATCTTAATGACTACATTGCAAATTTCATCTATTAAATATGAAAATATAATGTAATCACAGCAAATAACCTTATTTATGTACTGATATATTTTCTTTCGATATTTGTTTTCATTTAATAGTGTTGTGTATAGTTGGTCAAATAAAATAAGTGGCTTTACAAAACTTACTCTAATTATTTGAAAATTTTCAACAGGATCTGGTTGTGCTAATTGATTCCATGAAGATAAAGAACGACCAGTAAATAAATGCCATTGAAAAATTACAATTTTTCGATTTACAGCAGCTGCTAATCTTAATGGATGACTAGGACTTTTACTAATAGCGAATAATTGAGCACCTTGAAATGAAAATAGATGTGTTGATTTTATTTTGGTTATTTGGTTACTCTGAAGAAGTGACTTACATTGAATTACGAAACGTCAGAAATACAATTTTGTACTCATTATGATATCACAAAAATATATTTATTATTAAAAATTTATTAATAATGTTGATGCCTTTCAAGAGGTCTAACTTGATAATTGAATGGAGTCTTCAAAAATAGGCCCGCATCCATGATAGCCTACTTATTATGTGTTATACAAAGTTAAACATTGTGTTTTGTTAAAGGAAATGTTGAATCTAATATGCCCATAATTGTTTGAAGATACTTATACCATTGTATATCATATGTTTTGACAATTCTAATGTTGTGAATTATTGTCAGGTAATACATTTCTATTTCTTTTCATTGAAGACTCAATGACTAAAATTGAAAAATTAATCTTTCTGTATTAGTCTTAAAGAATATTGCATTTTACAATATCATTGAATGATCACCTCTTATTAGATGGATTTTAATGGCTGAAGTCATTCATTAAAACACAAGTAATGTAACGTATTATCTCTTATTAGTTTATATAATATTATATCATCTCATTTCGTATTGCTTGTTTGAATCTTTTCATAGATGTTTAGGACTACAATCGGTCAGTCTCTTATTGGCATATATACATCCTATGCGGATGACCTTGACTCAGTGGCTAAGTGGATAACATGATGGTGTTTGAAGCAAACGATATTGGGTTCAAATCACAGAGTGAATATCAACTCTCTGATTCAGACACATCCAGCTGACAAGTTCCAAATAGGACGAAACTTGCATCCTGAAGTCCATCGCTAGCCACCATTCATCTTCGCTTATATTAATATCATGTCTTTGTAATCTTCCTAAAAACACAAAAATTAACATCGAAGTATTCAAATTTTTCAAAATTTCTATAAATTAAAAGCTTATCAAAAAGTAGTCAAACATCAAAGTCTCTAATAACTGTAACCTATATGTTACATCCTGGTGACTTTCCTAGTAACAGGGATTGTAGTCTCTTTAATAGTAGCCCGGAAGTTCGTCGGTTGTATCACAAACCCTCAACTGGCACTTGAGTTGATAACATTTGTTTCAGACTATAAGTATAATACACTTAGTATTGTTTGTTTGGATCTTCCCATCGGTGTGTTTAGGACTGCAACTGGTCAGTCTCTAATTGGCATATGTGCATACTGTGCGTATTGCCTCGATATACCTTAATTCACAAGCAGTCCTAAACGCACCGATGGGAAGATCCAAACAAACAATACTAAGTGAATTCAAACTTCACCCCATCGCACAAGCAAGTGGCTATCAGGACTCAGTGGCCGAGTGGATAACGCGATGGCGTTTGAAGCGAGGGTACTGGGTTCGAGTCCCAGAGTGAACATCAACTCTGAGATGCAGGTAAATCCAGCTGACGAGTCCCAAATAGGACGAAACGCGCGTCCTGGATTCCACTGCTAGCCACTATCCATCTCTGCTTATAAGTATAATAATTGTAAATTAGAAGTAATAATCTTTTTTATATTTTTTAAAAATTTCTTATTGCATAATACTAATACATAAACATTGATGATATGAAATATAATTCAATGATACCTTTTGTTTTCTCTAAACTAAGTTTTTTAACTTGTGATCTATCAAATGGTTTAGTTAATGTTAAACAATTTAATTGTATCACTGCAATTTTTCCTTCTCTACCTGAGAAAAGATAAAAGAATAAATAGATATAAGTTTATTCTCTTTCATTATTGTTTAATATTTAATAATAAAGATGTTTATCAGAAAAATTTGTCTAGATGTCCTTTCATTATTTATCTAAAATAAACAAAAATCAGGATTGAAAATAAGTAAAAAAAAGTTAATTTTGAAAAAAATCTTCGACAATGATAACTATCAGAAGAGGGTTTCGTGGAGATTTTAGTAATTTTATAGTTGAAATCATGAGTCATAAACCTAAAAGCATTGGATGGCCGTTTCATCCTATCAACTAACTGAAGACAGTGCTGGACGGTTTCTCAATTTCGTGAATTGGTTGAAGTTAGACATTAACACCGTCGGATACCGGCTACCTCAGTGGTTCTAGAAGTGAAGCGCTCGCGCGCGAGACTGATTAGTCCTGGGTTTGAATCTTGCGAGGCGGGATCGTGGATGTGCATTGTTGGGGAGTCCCACAATAGGGTGAAACAGCCAACCAGTGCTTCAAGGTTTTTCGTGGTAGTCTAGCTTCAATTGACTCATGATTTCAACTACAAAAAAATATTCGTTAATGATAACCTTATTTATTTTTATTTAATAAATAAATAATGAGAAGATTTGTTTTTCCCTTAAAATTGGGTTTTTAAACTTTCAGGTGGGCGAGGTTTGTGGATGCTCATGGCTGATAAGCTCTATATTGGGATAAAACAGTCGTGTAGAGCTTCATAGTTATCTAATTTAGATGCATCAATATTGTTATTTGAATTGTATTTGTTGTAAATGGAAATAATAGACAGAAAATGTGACCGAAATATGTATATGAAAGATTTTGACATGTTTTTGGATGAAGCATATTTTATTACTTGAATGATGAATGTGATATGATACGAACAATTATCGGTTGTAATTTAGACTATCTTAGCTTATACTAAAATAGTTTAATACACATTCTATGCCAAATAATGCATAAAAATTTTGTTTCATTCAAAATATTTCGTCAATGACATGTGAGTAGCTCAACAGAAAGCTAATTAGTATGTTAGCTGGTGAAGAAGATTTGTAGCTCAGGTGAGTGATTTTAATGTAGTTTTGTTCTTTGAGCTGGATGGTTTGGTCGTGGAGCTTTCATCGTTTGTCGCAACAAACACTACATCGGACAAAGCGGACGCCCTCTTCATCTTCGCCTACATGGACATCAATTAGCAGTCGAACGCCACATGTTTTCACTCATATCAATACATGTGGATAACTGCAGACACATATTCGACTGAAAAAATGTAGAGATTTTGGACAGAGACAATTCCAAAAACACCAGAGAATTTTCAGAAGCTTAACACTCAGATCAATCAGCAATAAACAAGCACATTGAAATCAATCCACTTTATCAACCAATCAGGAAAAGTATGTAGAAACATGGGATCAAAAAACAAACCAATGGGAGATACAACCAAAACAAAGAAACAAACAATGACAGATTTAAGGTCAACAAGAATCAATCAACATCCAGGTGCTCAGGACAAGCTGTGAATCACATGTAGAGAAATTCAAACACTTCACTTCTACCCGAATTTTGTGCTGATGATGCCGTTTAGAAGGACGATGGAAGCTCTACAACCAAACCATCCAGCTGAGAGAACAAAACTCCATCAAAATAAATTAGTATATATAAATATGTGGTAACTACAAGAAATAATATTTACACTGCTTAGAAACTGTGATAAATAAGCTACCATGAATTCATCGTCATAAGCTAAGAGCACGTAAATACTAAATAATACAAACAACGAATGATAAAGATTAGACCCGATAGTTTAAATTAACATTTATATACAGTTTTAGAGCGATCCATAATCAAAGTATTCACCAAATACTTCCCAATTTCTGTTTATATGTGATTTATTTTTTAAAAAAATTCTTTTTTACTATACTACTACTCATTATTTCTTAATTAATATTAAGTAGTGAATCAACGTTTATTAAAATAAATCAAAAACAAACAAACAAAACAATGAAGCCAATTAAAATAGTTTTTCCATTAAAACGAATTAACTTCATAGAGTAAACAAAGTAAATAGATAAATAAATCAGCAACAAAATTAATTAATTAATTAAGATTTATCTCATCAATTGTAAATGAATTAGACATGAAAAAAAGAAGGTATTTCTAAGATAAATAAATGAATATCCATTGAAAAAGTAGAATCATTGAAACGAATCATAGAAACGAATTGAAAAATCTAATCAGATAATAGATTCAATTGAATATTGAAATGAGAAAATTAAATGAATGATTTTACTTGATCAATCTAATGAAGAAGAAAAAAAAACGTGATATTATCATAATATGTCTTAATGACATAAATAAACAACATCCATTTATCAGAAGGGAGTTGTGTGAAGATTTTTAAGTAATTTCATATAGTTGAAATCATGAGTCAATTGAAGTTACAACACCATGGAAGACTTCAAAGCACTGGACAGCTGTTTCGTCTTATTGTGGGACTCTTCAGCATTATGCATCCACGATTCCGCCCCACGAGATTCCAACCCAGGACCTATCAGTTTCGCACGAGAGCGCTTAACCTCTAGACCACTGAGCCGGCTGACATCCAACTGTGTTAATGTCTAATTTCAACCATTCCACGAAATTGAGAAACCATTCACCAATTGTCTTCAGTGAGTTAATATCTCACAACAGACCTGGTTGAATTCCACTGGTTACTGCTTCTCAATAAAACTCCAGGAAATACCTCATGGAGACATCTATTTATATTTGAAAATAATCATTGAATAACGTGAATACATTGAACTACTATACGTTTGCGCTTTCTGAATTCAAATGATGAGTACTAATGGAATCATTTCGAAGAATTTCTAGTACCATAGTACCATTATAAGAACGTTAAACTAAAGATTAATGTAATCGGAATGTCTAAAAGGGGTAGGGCAGAAAATTAATGATCTCTTATTTTTCATTGGTTCAGATTCAACTTAAAAGAACTGAATACTTCATCATTAGTTATATACAAAAAGTAAAATAAATTGTAAAAACGTCGTAATACCCCTATAAGTAGAAAATTACATTTCTTACGTTTCGTGATTTAATGTAAGTCACTTCTTCAGCGCAAACAAGTAATTGAAATAAAATCAATAAAAGTTGAAATAGTACAAGGGAAACAAACCAGGATATTTTTTAAATTCAATCAACAACACAATAGATCTGAACACATCAATGTCATGTTATTTCGGTCAAAAAGATTCTGTATAAGATATGATTTTATTTATTTTTATGTAAGTTAAAACTCTACTACTTTATATTACAAACTGTAGATTTTTCATATCCACCTTCATACACACAAATACAGTGATATCATATGGGAAGTCGATCTGATCAAAATAACATGATATTGATGTGTTCAGATCTATTGTGTTGTTGATTGAATTTAAAAAAATATCCTGGTTTGTTTCCTTTGTACTATTTCAACTTGTATTGGTCTTTTTTTAATTACTTATTTGCGCTGAAGAAGTGACTTACATTAAATCACGAAACGTAAGAAATGTAATTTTCTACTTATAGGAATATTACAACACTATATTTATGATTAAATTCTCATGCAATGCTCAATTTATGTGAAAGTATCAATCCAATCTTAACATTGATGCCTAAAAATTTAATACTTTCATTCGAACTGTATTTTGATTTGCGTATTTTTCAATTCAATATCAATCTATTAGATGATGAAAGTGAAACGAGCTGAAGGAATTCACAGATCATTATGACATCGAATAAAATTAGACTTTATTCAAAATATGATAATGATCCATATTTTAAAAAAAGTTAATAGATCACCATACCTTTATCATAACGAATAATCAGTAGTTCAAATTGGGCTACTTCTAATTGTTTCACTTCCACATTTTTATCAATTAATAAAACAGGCGGTTCACGATCTAAGAAAGTTAAATGAAATGATTACATAATCATTAACTACTACATTTAAAACTGAACTGAACATTTATTAGTCAGGGACGTCATATTTATATACTCAATCAAACGTAGAAAATAATAAAGAACTAGTTGCTAGTATTCAAGCTACATTCAATGCATGCAATACAATGAAATCTTTGGGTATACTGATTGAACTGAAATAACTATTCTTGGTCTTAAAGTAATATATAAGAATTTGACTGAATCGATCAAGATATCTTGATGAAAAAAATTGGATAATCTTGTTCACAGCAACAATCATTTTACTAAATCTTGATGAAATGACAAAGGTAAACTTCAAATGAATGAAACAAATTTATCAAAGGAATATTTGTTGTATCCCGTGGAGAATTATGAATGGTTAATTCTGAGGACTATTTATGGAACAATATGATACGTATATTTCCTATTCTATAATTGTTAAGTAACGTAACTATTCATATTTATATTGCAGAGGCCGATATTGGTGTTCTGAACTTAACTGACTGGGTTAGGCAGATAGTAAGACTGATAAGTACTCAAGACTGCTCATACGCCTTTCGAGTATCATTGGGGTAATCGATAATTCACTCCTCTCTCTCATCGACGGTCATATCACTCACATATATAAACTGGGAACTCACTCAATCGATATAACAACTAGGCACGTACACACTCAGGCAATCGATATAACAATATTTAATTCAGATAAAAATAGTATTTTTTATGGGTTAAAACATGCTGATAAAAATTATAAATAAGTCACGTGATAGAACTACGTCATCTCATTTTTTTGTTTATATGAGTTGATCGAGCAATTTACATAGAGTATTCTCAAGGATTTCATGTTCATCAACTATCGTGTGTGTATGTCAGTATGCTAGTAAAGAATAACTATAGGGTTTATGAATTGGATTATCTATAAGAATTAAATAACATCAAGATAGTGAAATAACTAAGGTAATCGAACAGGTTCCTCAGTAAAGCAGTCAAGTCTTAAAGACTAGCTAAATAATTATCAAAAGATAGAATAGATTGATAAAATATGGACACTATAGCGCTAGATTATTACAGTCATAACTGTACTTCAAAATGAATTTAAGCCATATGACTATTATGTTTTGTAAATTGACTTTATGGCTGAATTCTCTGTATCGGGAAAAAGCAAACAGTATACTTGTACTAAATAATGACTGTAAGTCTGTTTATAAGTTATCTTTTCATCAATAAAATTATCATTGTAAGATTAGTGATCAATAATTATGTTCATCAGTAATATGTGAAATTAAAGTTGCCAAAGTAACTAACATATTAAGCTTCACTGATTCTTCATTATGAACAATAATGAATGCAAATAATCAATGAACTAAATTGTGTAACGCAGAAAAAAAGGTTTAAGCATTTCGTATGTAATTCAAGTCTAATTTTAGATTCTTTGAGTATTTCAAATGCAAATGTCTGCTTTTTAATATCCTCTTTTGAAACCACATATAGAATCAAGGATGCACACTTTTGACGAGTCTTAGAAAGAAAACCAGTTACATATTGTATATTTCTAGCTTTACAGGTATTGTTCAGCTGATTCCATCATCTGAAATAAGTTATTTCCAAATTAGGGAAGGTCATAGTAGATAATAACTTTATGTATAAGAAAAAAACATTTATCTGTGTAACATTTAAGTCATCAAGATAAATTATTTATAATTTACCTTTAAAACCAAACGTTCCTTGTTCAGTAGTCACAATTAGTTGTTCACCTGTTGAAGTAATTTAAAAAATGTGCAGCATTAAAGTTCATAAAAATGATTAACAAACTACTACTGAGGATGAAACGACCGTCCAGTGCTTCCAGGTTTTCCTTGGTGGTCTAGCTTCAATTAATTTATGCTTTCAACAATGCAAACTACTTGTTATTAAAAAAAAGTGCTGTCGAATCAATTGATTTGGTCAGTCTTAATTGTTGTTGTGTTTTTTTCAATCGTTATATTAATACGTTATTTATTTACTTTTACAGTGAGGGTTAACCAGGAGTAACATAATTTCAGATTGTTTATCGTCATTATCTGAAAATAATTTCTGTCACCATTTGATGTCAGGTGAGAAAAACAAAGTTGAGCTGTTGTTTCATCAGTTTCAAGGTTATGAATAATATATAATCTGAATTCTAAAGGAGTTTGAATCAAATTCTTTGAATCAAGATCCAATGATCTTTACTCTTGAATTGAGTCATTTTGGGATATAACATAATCTTGGCCTAGTGATAGCCTTATTTAACTTCACTGCTATTAGTCTCAAACTGGAATGAAACAGTTTTTCAGTGATAATCAGTTTTCAGAGGTTCACTTTTCAGTATCGGTTTATGAACGATATTATCTGGATTTATTAAAAATTAAAGCAAATAGTTAGAATCCCTTTTAATGTTAAATATATAGTTATAAATATCTCAATATTTTAGTGAACCAAAAGACGAGTGGAGACAATGGAATGTATTTAAACACAAATTTCAGACTATCTCACTAAATTCTGATAACCATACAACAAACAGTTAATTTACAAAATAGCAATCAATTGTCTCAATCTTAATTGTTCCTTCTTCAAATATCAATCCTTCTTCTCTGATTTCATTGTTCATATATTTTCGTACCGATTGCGCTTCATTCCTGTTCGTTCCTTATCGATCTTCAGCCAAAATACATTCTATGTCTGACCATCACCATATACTACTTATGAGGAAATAAGTAGACCACACCACAATATCACCATTATTATTATTAGTATGATCGGCCATTTTGACCTAAGTACAATTATTACCTTACAGATCTGTGTATTAATGAATCAATGTGGAGTATTTGGATTGAATAAAAAGTATTAGGAAGTCAATGCATTTTGTTAAAACCGATATTCTTGAATAATACTTCGAAGAATAATTAAACCATTTGAATCTTAGGATTGTATTAAGGACCTCGTATTGGAAGAATCTATCATTCACACACAACCAATTTTTCCTAGGTAAATCACTTTGTTGAGATGATTCTTTTCAACTTGTCAATAAAATAGTCTGAGCAATGTTTATTTTCATTTAGAATTATAACAAATGAAATTCGTCATTACATTACGAACATGGTTGTTAAAAATAAAGGTTTTAGGTTAAGGTATTGATATACATTTTCTTCTTCACTGGAGATGAACAATGTTATATATATATATATATATACGCCAATCAGTCAGTCAGTTACAACATAGGACCAGGCACATATATGCATCGGTCCACGTTGCCATACCTCGTTAGCACAACAAGATCAACATCGAATTCATAGTAATTAATTTAGTGGTGTTAATATATAAAAGAAAGATTGTATATAAGGATATAGTATAGGAAGGTAAACAGATATGAAACAATTTTAATCTCAAGGTTTAAGGGAAGATAAAGAGTGTATGCACCTGCGCTATATATATAGATATATATGATAATCTTACCCCATACATCTCCACATATGATCTCTGATTGAGTACATTTGTATATTAATTTAGGCTGCCATAACTGGAATTAAATCAAAATAAAGTAATGCAATTAATTAATCTATCAAATATGTGTATTTATTCAACAGAAATTGACTCTATTTCTTCGATCCAAAATTTTTAGATAATTTTCTTAGAAAATAAAAAAAAATTTATTATCCTTAATTATTTTATTGGGGACTATATTGAAAAATCTAATAAAAATGCAGTTCTCTGATAGGTTACTTAAATTGTTTATATTTTTTAACCTTTTAAAATAAATCTTAATTACAATAGTTGAGATCAGGAATCAATTGAAGCTAGACCACTATGAAAAACCTGGAAGTACTAGACGACCGTTTCATCCCTTCTGTTATTAATCAACATATGCTCACTAGTGACTGGCTTCAAGAGAGATTCCCTGGAGTTCCAGTGAGAAGCAGTGACTAGTGGAGTTCAACCAGGTCTCTTGTGAGATGTGAGTGTGTCGCTCAACTTCATGGATTGGTTGAAGTTAGATGCCGGCTCAGTGATTCTAGTGGTTGAACGTTTGCGCGCGAAAGTGATGGGTCCTGGGTTCGAATCTCGCGAGGTAGTATCGTGGATGCGCAACGGCCGTCCAGTGCTTCCAGGTTTTCCATGATGGTCTAGCTTCAATTGATTCATGATCTCAACTATTAAAATCTTAATCAGTTTGATGAAAAGAGATCAACCATAATATAAAGTTTTGAAACTTGAAAAATTGAATTAGACAATGAAATATTTTAACAAAGAAAGAATTTATGATCAGAACGTCTATAACCTTCGGAAAGTTTTTTTCATCTCTATCACTAAATAACATTATTTTCAATTTGAACATTAAGCATTTAATAATCTTAATACAAAAAGGTAAATGAATAACAAAGGAGAAAATTATTTATAAAAATTGTGAAGAAAGATAATACAGTCATCAAGGATCAGGTAAAACAAATTATAATTCATTATGCATCTAAAAGTCTAAGGGGTCTATAACATATATCAGTACACTGGTCAAAAAAACCTCAGGGGACATAATATTTATTAAGCTAGTGACTGGATGCAATCATCACAAATCATTCTGATTAAGACGGTTTGACAAAAAATTATTAGATCGAAACCTTGGATCCAACCCTAGCTATGATCTTTAAGTTGTCTTGCTAATCGAAAACGAGATGTACGTCTCAGTAGTCAATCAAGCACTTCATGAAGAATAAAACCATTCGTCTACGGCACACGTAATATAACACTCTAGAAGACACGAAATCTGATAATGATTAAGTCGAATAATAGAAAATATAGTATAATGTAATAAAATGTTTTACCTACTTAAGTAGGTTTCTTTGTTTAAAATTAATTTCAAATGAAAACTCACTGGCGTTTTAAGCATTTTACCTAAAGTATACCATACCTCTATCTGTCTGTGTTTTTACTTAAGATTTATAACTGAATCTTGTTAAAAGCTTGTTTCAGACAGATTAAGGCATTGGACGCAAAGTTGGTTAATGAATTGCTCAAATTGATGCCTAGATCTATTTACAATATGGTTCACAATCAGCATCTTTATTACTTTAAATAAGTGATGGATTGAATGTTATCTCTAGCTGATTACCGCAAATTATAAGTGATATATTTATGGAGATAAATAAGATGCAACCATCATCCTATCGTTTTAATATATCCTGTTTGATAGTGAACTATTGTATGCCTAAAAGTACGGACAGTTTAGTAAAAAATATTTTCATCTGTGATGTCATTTACTAGAGCTATACAGTTTTATATAAAGTTATTAGACCTAGTATTTTTAAAAACACAGTTGAGAGATATTATGTCGCTATTGAAGTTATAAAACATTTTAGAAGTTAAGAACACGAGATACGTTACTATAGTTCACCTAATGATCAACCATAAGGCTGTTGACTGAATTTAATTCTTCTTTAGATAGATACTCAGAGTAGTTCTCCTATGTCTGTTCAAAAAGTGCTTAGGTTTTGAGGCAAATATAACCTATTCTACTAAAGGCATAAAATGATATATGTCTACCATGGGAAATTAATAGATTTTTTGTAGAGTTATCACAAATCCATTTTTGAAGATCAATAGTTTGAATTCAGTGTTCACAAACAAAATATCTTTCCTTTATTATTAGGGCACTTTCCATCCATGACTTTTTAATTTTGAGTTTACTGTCAATCAACCTAGAAATGGATTCTTCTTTTATTATTGAATATACCTAGATGATCAATACATTTTATGAGCTTATTTATCATATCTTTAGTTGACCTAAAAAAATTGGTTGTAACTTTTTTGGTAAAATATGGGGCATTTAAAATGTATTCTCATCAGTTTATTACTTTGGTATTTAAACTCTTATGAATTTAATTTTCTTAAATTTACATTATAATAGATGTAATAACTGATATTGTGGTGTGGGTTACTGATATCCTTATAAGTAGTATATAACGATGATCGGTCATTGAATGTATTTCAGTAGAAGATCGATAAGATGAGAACGGGAACGGCATGTAATCGCTACGAAAATGCATGAACAATTATAATCGGAGACTATGGACGGATATTTGCAGAACGAACAGTTAAATTGAGACAATTGATGGTGATTTTGCAAATTAACTGTTCATTATATGGTAAGCAGAGATGGATAGTGGCTAGCAGTGGAGACTGACCAGTTGCAGTCCTAAACACGTCGATGGGAAGATCCAAACAAACAATACTAAGTGAATTCAAACTTCACCCCATCGCACAATCAAGTGGCTACCAGGACTCAGTGGCCGAGTGGATAACGTGATGGCGTTTGAAGCGAGGGTACTGGGTTCGAGTCCCAGAGTTAACATCAACTCTGAGATGCAGGTACATCCAGCTGACGAGTCCCAAATAGGACGAAACGCGCGTCCTGGATTCCACTGCTAACCACTATCCATCTCTGCTTACCATGCTTGTGAATTAAGGTATACGCACAGTATGCACATATGCCAATTAGAGACTGACCAGTTGCAGTCCTAAACACATCAATGGGAAGATTCAAACAAACAATGCTAAGGGAATTCAATGTTCATTATATGGTTCTCATATTTTAATGAGATATTCTGTAATGTTGTGCTGAAGTACATTCGATTGTCCTCACTCGTGTTCTTGTTCACTACAATATCATTTCAATATCAAATAAATAAAATTGTCCTATACAATAATAGATATTGAGATTCATATTGATTTTATAACTTAAGTTAACCCTTAAAGTTTATAAATGAAGTTTATGTTTTCCGATTTAGTATAGTTTCATTATATTTTAACAACTATTAAATTGGATAGGACACACTTTGAGAAAATCACTCAACTGCATCACAAGACAAGCCCTCACATGGAATCCTCAAGGCCAAAGGAAAAGAGGAAGACCTAAGAACACATTACGCCGAGAAATGGAGACAGACATGAGAAGAATGAACAAAAATTAGATAGAACTAGAAAGAAAGAACGAGGACAGAGTGGGTTGGAGAATGCTGGTCGGCGGCCTATGCTTCATTGGGAGTAACAGGCGTAAGTAAGTAAATATACTACAGCTAAAACCACCTCACTAAAAAACTGCAATGTTGGAGGAAACCTCGATACACCAATAAATACTCCAACACAGAACACCTGAATTAAAGCAATCGAACAATATACACTAGAAAGAACTAATCATCTACGAGAACACACACATTCATAACCTCCCTCCCCAAATAAAAATAAACGCCGCACTCGCAAAACATCCATGACCAACAACATCACCCAACTAATAAAATCCTATAACCTTAAAGAAGAAAGTACAACCAAAAAGTATAATCACGAATGCCTACCAGCTACACAGCTTTCAATCATCCTATATAACTCAACTCTTGCCACTGAACAAGCTACCATTATAAAGTAACCTAACAACGACAAGCAGCTGCGAAACCTATAACCATGTACTACTAAATTTCCCAACAACTTTATATATACATATATATATATATATATATTTAGAGAGAGAGAGAGAGAGAATGTTATTGTTTATGATGGTCGTAGCATACTGATTATATGAACAGTTCATTCGCTCTTGAAAACACTTCAGGCATATTTTTCAACAACAACAAAAAAAATACTCTGGAAAACATTTTTCTTTTGTCTTTTTCAGTAAACATTAAAAACTTGAACATTTCATTGTTTCTATGCCCATAGATAAGGATAGAGCAAAAAAAAACAAAACAACAAAAATAAACAAATATTAAATGGATATTTACGTTTATATTCTATTTAAAAAATATTGATTCAATGAATCAATAAATGTGATTGTTATTGAATTTATTTATTTGAAGTAACCTCTTTTATTGACATTAACATAATTATTTTAAGGGGAAAATGATAAGTTCAGATGATTACATATATATATATATATACTTAAGGAAGAATATATTATTCACTTCCGCATGAATAGTTTAAGTATATAACAGTTTTTAAATCATGTTTATTTATTTAGTCCCAAATAGGATGAAACGCACGTTCTCGATTCCACTGCTAACCACTATCCATCTTTGCTTATAATGCTTGTGAATTTAGGCTATATCAAGGCAATACGCACAGTATGCACATATGCCAATAAGAGGCTGACCAGTTGCAGTCCTAAAAACATCAATGGGAAGATTCAAACAAACAATACTAAGTAAATTTCATGTATATTTGTTAGTTAGCTCATGATACTCATTATGATAGATCATTGATTTATTTTTTCCAGGTAATATATACCGTATATCCTACCTACTAAGGAAAATAGAAAGAAAATTCATCAATTGCAACTTCTTTCAATAGTCTACTTTAAGTATCTCTTTAGGGAAATAATTAAAAATTATCTTATTTAAGTAGGGTTATAAAACAAGTATGAAGTGAATATATAGGTTCAATATAGGTTTTTAAAGTATACATATAACAAAGCAGCGATTTTTTAAAGTAAAGATGGATAGTGTCTAGCAATAGAAACCTTGCTATAAAGTTTGTGACTTAAGGTAATATCAAGGCCAGTTTATATAGGATGCATATATATCAATAAGTGACTGATCAGTTGTAGTACTAAGACAACAATGAGAGGATTCAAGTAAACAACACTAAATAAATTTAAAGTAAGAATTTGTTAATAAATTTATTTCAAATGTTCATTTCTGGATACTTTATCAACGTCAAATTCTTAATTTATTTCTTACAATATAATCACTTATAGTCAGTCAGTCAGTCACAATGTAGAACTTCGTACATACGTACATCAGTTCGAGTCGACATACCACATTACCACAGAGATGCAGTTGTCGATTCAAATCCCACAGTGGTAGAAGTAGTAAGAGTATAAGCGTTATTGTGAAAGATTAGGGTTTAAAGATGCTATTCAAGAAGTATTATCCAGCGAAATAAATTTGGAAAGGGAAAAAAATGGGGACATAAGGAATTTAGAAGATTAGAAATCGGGAGAACACAAATAGTGGATACACCTTCTCCATTGCAAACGATTTTGAGCCATATCATTCAAGGTTTGTAAACATCGGTTGATATCATCTCGTGGATCCCAATCAGCTAGTATACACCTGCCAACATGACTCAGTTCACTTGACAGTGACTTCTTGGATTTGTGCCACGTTTTGGTTTGGCCGCCCCTAGCTTTCTTCCAACCTACTCCTACACTATTAAGCATTGCATGTCGGGGTAGTCGCTGGTTGGGCATATGTAACACGTGTCCCAACCATTTCAACTGATGAAGTTTCACTACTTTATCAATCGATTTGCATCCTTACCTAGTATCCGTTTCCTAACAATTGCATTACTTACCTGATAGTCTTAATTTTTCTCTTAAAGAACAATTAGAAAAAATTGACTGATTAATTTTCACTGAAACTATGGTACATAAAAAATGAGTATTAACTGCCCTTTAGTTTTACTTTGGTAGTATTATGTTTAAACTTCAAATTCTCCACAACTAATTACATTGAATTCATATTTAATCACTAGTCTATTGAATGACTTTCACTTGAATTTACTTATTATTCAAATTAGTTACTAGGTATATTGTGCCACAAACATATTTACGCTAATTTGTTATTTCAGTCTACAGAATTGTTTCACACTTAATTAGGATTTCATGTATACAGAATATTCAAAGACTGTTAACTTTTGAATTATTGTATGGTACTTTTTAAATAAATAATTAGATATTATAGGCAAAGGTGGATAGTGGATAGAAGTGGAATTCGGTAGTCGCGTTTCGTCCTATTTGGGACTTGTCAGCTCGATGTACTTGCATCTCAACCCATTACCTTTCGCTTCAAACGCCATGGCGTTATCCATTCAGCTACTTAGTTCTGATAGCCACTTGTTTGTGCAATGTGGTGAAGTTTGAATTCACTGAGTATTGCTTTTTTTGAATCCTCCCATTAATGTTTAGGACTGCGATTGATCAGCCTCTTATTGGCATATGTGCATACTGTGCGTATTGCCTCGATATAGCCTAAATTCACAAGCATTATAAGCAAAGATGGATAACACGATGGCGTTTAAAGCTAAACATATTGGGTTAGAGTCCCAGAGTGAATATCAACTCTGAAATGCAGGTACATCCATCTGACGAGTCCCGAATTGGACGAAACGCGCGTCCTTTATTCCACTGCCAGCCACTATTCATCTTTGCTTATAAAAAGCTTGTAACTTCAGGCACTATCGAGGCAATACGCACAGTATGTACACATGCCAATAAGAGACTGATCAATTGCAGTCCTAAACATCAATGGAAAGATTCAAACAAATAATACCAACAGAATTTAAATAAGGAGATAGTTTTTAAAGTTTTGTTATGAAACTTTGGGAATAATTTTGGTTCAGAACATCAAATAACAATTATGTATAACTAATGATGCATCTAAAGAAACATACTTTAGCTGTACTAACTACAATTCATTTTCAGTATTCAGTTATGGTAATCATTGGATCTTATTAAAATAAAAAATCAATTGAAGTTAGACAACCATTAAAAATTCACGATGAAGGAACTGGACATCGAATTCAGGAACCTGGTCGCTAATGTGAATTATTAAGAGGTACCAAGGTAGAACGAAAGAGTTGTTCAGTGCTTCTAGATTTTTAACGGTTGTATAACTTAAATCAGTTCGTAGTTTCAGCAATATTATTTGTTTGCGGTATGAGACTCCAATAAAATTGAGTTGAAACGAAGATTAAGCATACATGAATTTTGATATGAAACGGCGTGGTTCTTTTGAAAATTATATACACTTTGAGGTTTGAAATTACTTGATTGTAACTTATATTTACAAAAAATGTAGTATAACGAACTAGGTAACTGGTAAATATAAACTTACTATTATATATGAAATACAATACCTTAATTCATAATGTAACCTGAGTTAATAGATAGATGGTGCATGATGAATAAGCGGATAAAATCTAGGCTTCTAAAGATATAAAATCAAATTATCGATTTCTTTCAGTGATGTACATCCAACTAATAATATTTGAAGACACCAGTTTTTAAAGTGTAATAATACAAGATTTTAGAAGTATTTCCTCACTATATTCAAACAGTAAACTATTTATCAGAGATGGACAGTGGCTAGCAGTGGAATCAAGGACGCGCGTTTCGTCCTAATTGGGACTCCTCAGCTGGATGTACCTGCATCTCAAAGTTGGTGTTCACTCTGTGACTCGAACCCAGTACACTCGCTTCAAACGCCATGGCGTTCAAACAAACAATACTAAGTGAATTTAAACTTCACCCCATCGCACAAGCAAGTGGCTACCAGGACTCAGTGGCCGAGTGGATAACGTGATGGCGTTTGAAGCGAGGGTACTGGGTTCGAGTCCCAGAGTGAACATCAACTCTGAGATGCAGGTACATCCAGCTGACGAGTCCCAAATAGGACGAAACGCGCGTCCTCGATTCCACTGCTAACCACTATCCATCTCTGCTAACTATGCTTGTGAATTAAGGTATATCGAGGCAATACGCACAGTATGCACATATGCCAATTAGAGACTGACCAGTTGCAGTCCTAAACACATCGATGGGAAGATTCAAACAAACAATACTAAATGAAGTAAACTATTTAGTTTTAAGCTGACTGAAGGTTAGTTAATCTTGTGATAAATTAAGTTAATCATATAATCAAGATAAATTGATGCTTATCAATATGAGGATTTGTGGAGATCGTGGTATTTTCATAGTTCGAGTCCCGTGTGCAGGATCGTGAATGCGTATTGCTGAGAAGTCCTATAATAAGGCAAGACTGCCGTTCAATGCTATTAGATTTTTATTTGGGGTCTAACTTAAGTTGACTCGTGATTACAACTGTTTAAATTTATTCTACATATAAAAGCGCCATATAAGTTATACTTCGCTATTTTAAACGCCTATAATATTGGTATCATAAGGAAGTCAAAACAACATGAAGTATTATGAAAAGCATAATAAACATAATGAATAACAGAATTGTCTTACATTTTTTCTTGATTGACCACTAGTTATGGAACTGGTTGGAGCATCTCCTCTAATTATTGTATTCAACTTCAACATCTATTAATACAAAAGGAAGATTAATATTAAAATCAGTAATTCGGGATGAATTTATTAAGAAAATTAATAATGAATAATAATTATCAGAAGGGGGTTTTGTGAAGATTTTAGTAATTTTATATAGTTGAGATCATGAGTCGCGAGGCGGGATCGTAGATGTGCACTGTTGAGGAGTCCCACAATAGGACCAAACAGCCAACCAGTGCTTCTAGGTTTCCCATGGTGGTCTAGCTTCAATTGACTTATGATCTCAACTGTATGAAAAATTACTGAAATCTCCACAAACCCCCTTCTGATAATAATCAACATATGCTCACTAGTGACTGGCTCCATGAGGTATTTCCTGGAGTTCTAGTGAGAAGCAGTAACCAGTGGAATTCAACCAGGTCTATTGGAAGATATCAACTCACTGAAGACATTGGTGAATGGTTGCTCAATTTCGTGTAATAAATAATAATTAACAAAATAATAATATTGTTTTCATTAGTGACTGTCAAGTTTTAGTTTTTAATGTAGTATGTAGAACCAAAAATATTGAAAGGGTTTTCGTTTATTATTGAATCTTCTATGAGTACATATTTATGGATGATTTTCGGTTAGAAGACTGGAATATACTCCAGAGGAAACATGTCGCCTCTTAAGTAATTAGGATAATAATAATTATGTATATATGTATGTTTCTTTCAAAACTCATTCATGTTATGATTTAATCTTTTATTATAAGTCGCTCATAAGTAGATTGTTTCTTTTGATATAAAACAATTCAAGAATATTGTGCGACATCATTCTAAAGATGTATTTAACTTAATGCTTCATATGAATTGAACCTTTTTATTTGTTAATTAACTTAAAGAAACAGAGTGATAAATAAAGTCTTGACATCATATAAGATGTGTAAAAAACTGTTTTGAACACCTAAATTAATTCATCGACTTTAAGAAATTAGTCACCAGAAATCACTGCAATATTATATATATTGTACTTAGGATTACTTAGCTTGACCGGTTTTCGTCCTATTATGGACTCGTCAGCTGGATGTACGTGCATCTCAGAGTTGATGTTCGAATCCCAGAGTGAAGATCAATTCTGAGATTCAGGTATATTCAGCTGCCATGTCCCGAATAGGACGAAACGGGCGTATATAATACTGAATTAATGAAACTATCAATGTATAATACTGTTAGCCAATATAATCAAAGTAAAACCCATGTTTAATTCAACTGAATTATACCTAAATTACTTTTTAGTTATTGTATACTTGTGTTAAAAACCATCTGGAAAGAAATAATCATAAATAGAGAATAAAAGAAAAAAAATACCACATTTTCCTTCTGGTGTTAGATATATCAAATTGTATTACAAAAGTTAATTTGTATATAATTTATAAAATGTAGATAATTGATCAATTTCACTTACTTGTCCATATCTGATATGTGCATCATTACGACTTTGTTCTTTACTAGTTGTTACTCCATTGAAAGAATCTACTACAACATCACTAAATGATCGTCTATAAATTGCACCATTCTTGATAATGTTAACAAAAAAGAAATTAGAAAAGAATGGTTATTTGTTTCAGTTAAGTTAGTATCATTATGTTTTTAGTATGATAATAATAAAATATAAATTGAGCTAGATAGATCATCAAAGTGTTTTTTCGTCAAATAAGCACTGAAGCACTGGACAGTCGTTTCATCCTATTGTCAGTTCTAAAGTAACTTTGAAATAGGGCAAAAAACTGCCGAAATATTTTACTTTCTAATAATCAACTATAATCATACATTCTACAATATCAAATTATTATTCCTTACCACTGGAATGTTTATAATAGCCTTAGGTTATATACCTTTAAACATTTAACTGAACCTGATTAGTCTGCATTTTGTTTCGGTTATCTGTTCATGGAGTAGCTGGGAACATTCCTACTGTATGTTTTGAATTATTCATTGTTTTTTTTTACTTGGTTTTGTTCTACATTTAGTGTCATTAATACTGGTTCCCCTGAATTCGTACACGATTCTTAATTTCACATTTTATTGACGTAGATTAGTAGTGTCTTTATCTGAAAGCACTCGGAGATAATCCCAGCAGATATCAACTTAGAGTAATATCTAGTTAGGAGATTTTTGTATGCACTTACTTGTTACTCTACTGTCTCAAAAGTTACCGATAAAGATTTCATCAGTGATCTATTGATAGATCATAAATTCTGATTAGATGTCTGTTCACATTTACAAAATGTCTTATTCATTTAAAAGTTAAAATATGAACCATATAGTTCTTATTTTAGTAGCTGCTCAGCAAGGTTAGATACCCATGGAATATTCAAAAAAAAATAAACTTCACTCGATTTTATTATCATTTACAAGTATGTTAACAGTAAACACATTCTCATATAATATATGTAAGGAATATCTATTGGTGAATTGAAACAGTTATACGAAAGTCACTTGAAGACTAATTATTAATAAGAAAACATTTTGAAAGCCAAGAATTTACAAAAAAATAATTCACTCACATTTGCTTCATTTGTATAAGTAGTACATATTGCATTCAATAGCATTTCTAAGGTGCGTTGTCGTTTTTGTGCAAATACTGGGGATCTAAAAGCAGCCTTTTCACCATTGATTACTAAAGTTTAAACGAAATATTAAACATTAAATACGTTGACATTAATCATCTACATTATGTTAATGTAAATGAAACAAATGAAATATATGTTGGTTGATTTTATTTGGCACTAAATTTAGAGGCGTTATTGTTAAATTACGTAACAAGAAATATAGAAAAAAAAATGGTTGTAGGAATTATGTAAATTTTAATACAGAACCAGTGAATGGTCGATTTTAAATAAAGACAGAACAAATATTGATGCAGAATAATATGAATTCATTATATTTCGTGGTTTCTCATCAGCTGCTTACAACCAAATATGTATTAAAGTTTTAACATTGGGGTAATAAATAGTGGGGAATAATTGACATGATAGAATGTAAAGGATTGGAATGACAAAGCTTTTTGAAGGATTCTTGTTCCAACGAAATCAACTGCATAACCCAATTCTATCGAGTGTAATCCTATCGCTGCCTTGTTCTCAAGTTTCCTTACATCAACTGAGGACTTAGGAAAGTGATTTAAGCGTTGTTTGTGTTCCTTCATCCTCACATTCAGTTGCCTTTATGTTTCACCTACAGTCATTACATCTGATTTCATAGACACAATTCTATTGTTCTTCTTTGTGTATTAGATCTTTAATTCTTACTAGTTTTGATCTTAGAGTATTGTTTGTTCGAAAATAAATACTTATTCTAATGTCTTTATTTATATAGGGATAACTATCGATAGTTTACTTATTGGTTCCTTCGTTTAAATAATTTGTTACTGTAACACTGAACATGGTTGCATGAAGTATACAAAACAAAAATTAACTAGGTCAAACGGGAAAGGTGAGCATAGAAAAAGAAAACTAACGCTTAGTTAAGACCTATATATAATTGAAACTGTGTTGTATTATTTGAAAATCAAAGTTGAGAACTCAGTCAATTTATGAAGTTTACTTGCCTAAATTAAAAAAAAAATTTGTATTTTCTTCTGAATATAAGTATACTTCGGTTCACCCTATTTGAGATCATACAAAATAGAATATTAATGAAGAAAAGTTAAAAATATACCCCATAATTATTATTATTTATGGTAAAAAGAATTCAGGTGAATATCATAATTATTAATTTAAAAAAAAATTTTTTTTTAAACAAAAACAAAAAAAACTTGAAAAAAAAGGGAAATGGAATTTTATTAAAATCGTTTAAGAAAAATCCGGTAAAAATTGATTGAACCAATAGTTGGAAACAAAATGATTTTGTAAATATTGATTTTATTCAATTTTTTGGAATATAAAATAAAGATATAAACTTATAGTATATTTATAAGTATGCTGATGTTGGATGAAATTTGGAAAAACAAACCCTGTTTTTAATATTGATTTAACTTGTTTGGATGATATGATAATCATGTCATGCAATATACCTCCAAATAGTTCTTTTTATAAATTTAACTAAAATCAGAATAAACATGGGATTGTATGAATTGTTTTTAATAGCATACGTGAAAATTTGCTAATAGGAATGCCTGAATGATCAGTTTGCTCTTGAAGTTAGATATTAACACCTTTGCATTAAGTCTCAGTGGTCTAGTGATTAAGCGCTCGCGCGCGAAAATGATAGGTCCTGGGTTCGAATCTGACGAGGTGGGATCGTGGATGCGCAATGTTGAGGAGTCCCACAATAGGACGAAACGGTCGTCCAGTGCTTTCAGGTTTTTCAAGGTGTTCTAGCTTCAATCGACTCATGATTTCAACTCATTACAAATTGCCTATGTGAGAATGCATATCCGGCCAAGTTCATCCAGTAGGATGATAAAACCAAATATGATACAATTGAAAAGAAAACTTGCTTCTTATATTTGTGCTACAAAGAAGATGAAATTATCAGAATAATTAACCACAGGATAAATTCCTTGTTGAAAGTGGTTTATCCATTAGCAAAAATGACGACGTTATGTGAAACGAATTGCTTGCTCAAACAAACAAAAATTGACAGGTTCTCTTTTCTCAGTAACGGCTACTGAATTTACCAATTTATAAGTACGTGCCGAAGCACATACATTGGAAGAATTGAGAAAAGAGTACATGTTCGCATTTCCAAACATGTTCCAAAGAAATTGAGACAGATGGGCAATACCGATAAAAACAAAACTCAAACCCGATTTATGTATCTAAAAATAGACAGTAACCGACCTATTACCACCCTGAAAGTCATTTTTGTCATTATTTTGTTTGTTCATTTTGTTATGTAGTCTTCCCTTATGGAATTCTTATTTTCTGTACATTAAAACCACCCCTTCATCCATCCACTCAATGTAAAAATTGCAAATCCTGTTCAGTTACTACGTAACCCGTCTTAACGGTTTTTTAATTCCTGGATTCTTACGTAAACCCTTCATAACCTCTAAAATTATCATACAATTTATCTTACCTGTCTCTGAAACTCACTAATGTGAGGTTATTTGATTTCAGCAGCAAATGACCTCTAACCAGTTCCTACATATATATATATATATATATATATATACAGTTATTATTGATGACATTTGTTATTCTAATTCTTTTTATTCATCTATGTCAATTGTTTTATATTATATCTTACCTCAATCTAAACTTTTAATACATATGTAGTTATAAATAGCTAATAAGAAACCACAAAATATATTGAAGTCATATTATTCTGCATCCATGTTTGTTCTGGCTTTATTTAAGCAATTATTATTGACAGTGATTGTTGAGAATTGTCGAGTCCCATAATAGTTAGGTCCAGTGCTTCCAGGTTTTCTATGGCAGTCTAACATACATCGATTCATGATCTCAATCAAAAAAATCATTAACAAACCATTTTATTTTATTTCTACTTTCCCTAATTACAACTAAAGAGCCATAAATAAGGGCGCACAATTTACATATGACAAGTAGTTGGTATCAGATTTCTCATAATTCACGGATGGGTCATGGTTGTAAATATCTGAACAATGAATCAATCCTTTGTAGTGTAAGGTCAACTTAGATCCTATTATGTTTTGAGATTTATCAAATTGATTGATTTCATCAATTGCAAATCGCCTCGTTACCGCTGTTGTATCTTTTACAAATAATTATAGTTCCAAGATTTATCTTTAAGTTTAATTTCAACCCGAAATGGTCGGTAAAACTCAATAACTGGTATGGAAGAAAGAAAATTTCAATTAAAATCAAATTGGCTGAATCTAATAGTTGTTCGAAAGTTTATTTTCGCCTCGAAAATTTTGGTTCAAGTGAAGATATAAAGTGTCTGATTAAAACTTCTATATTGTATTAGATGCTTTAGGAAAAATGTTAGACACCAAGTTACCAATTTTCAATATTCCTTACTGTTGTTTAAAGCTACTGATGAATTCAACGGCAATTATTTCATCCTTTCGAATAAAACAAGTCATCTATGCAAACAATCAAACTTTATTTCGATAAATTACGTTCAGTTCATATGAAATATATTCATATCTATTTTAAAGTCATTGAGTGATTTTAAAATCTGTACCAGTCATTTGTTGGGTATGAAATAAGGATCATTCTTATTGTTCCTGAATGTCAAAAGAAAATGTAAACGTCTTGTTAACTAGAAACCTGATGTTAAAATGGTGGATGTTAAGAAAACCTGAAGGTTAAAAATGTTTCTTCACCAAGTTTAGTCACCAGAAGAGTTATCACAGTACCTTAACTTTTTTAGTTGGAAAAAAAGACTTATGGTATTTTGGTGTTGTTTGTCAGTTTATATATAACTTAACTTATATAAAGCACAAATCTGTAAAATATCAACAAGAAATATATAAAAATTCATTTGGTAAGAACACTGATATCTTTCATTCATTTATGAAAAGATACAGGTCAGTTTCTCGTCAAGTTTTTCATGTTAAAATAGATAAATCTTAAAAGACTAGAAACTTGACTGAATATGATCCAGTTCTCGGTCATGCAAAAAGAAGGAGTCAAAAAGTGGATTCTTATCAACAAGAAATCCTACTCAAATCATAATGTGAGGACGGGAAAGTATTGAAAACAACCCAAATACTTAACTTAATGAATTATTATGTTGTTAGTTAGTTCAGTTAAATTTATTGTCATTGCAAATCTTAAGCATACGTTTAACTGATGACTGATTTAAATTAACTACCGTCTAGTTCCATAGATTCACATTTGCCTATTAACCAGATAAGTAAATCGCATACAACTGAGCGGTACTTTTTAGATATTTTGAATCAGTGACCGATTTTAATGTAAATTTATCTTTGTAGTATCCCTAGTTTTTAATTTATAATTTAAATTAATTCATACCAACCAGAATCAGTTCTTGTTTAGTTATACAAAGGGAAATGGTCAGATTTGTTAACAGTCAAAGACAAATAGCCATATCAATGACTGTTACAGTATTTCTTATCAAGTTATAACAATAATTGATCTAACTGAGATATGATAGATCTACACTTTTATAACAATTGACATATGAAGACACCATATGAATAATATCAGCTAGATACGGTTGTTCCTTCAAAAACTCTAAAAGATAAAAATTGAATTTTAAAACAACAATACCAGGTAATAATAGAAAAGGAATTATCCCCAATTTAGTGTTATAACTAATTATACAATCACATTGTTCATATTTAAAACAAAAACATTCTCATAGGAAAACAATAAACAAATAGGAATCCAAAATGTTTAACACGGCTACATACCCTTACAATGCCAAATACCACATGTTTATACATATATATGTATAGGGTATATATACAACATTAGCAGAGATCATCCACTATTTCATTATATCTAAACAAACCTTCAACTATTAAAACACTAATATTTGAACGAAGAGTATTCTTTTAAATAAATACTCTTCAGGTTCTACAATTATATATCCAAATTAATAATCCGAAGAAAAATGGCCAGGTTAAAGGCAAAGTCCATCGTTTAAAGCATGTAAATTTAGGAATGTCAAATCAAATAGAATAAAATTGTTAATGTTGATATGACTCATGAAAAGTTAACTTGAATCAACTAATGTGTTAAGTGAAAATTGGGCCAGATAGGGTGAAAGATTTGATAGTGCAATTACAATTCGATCAAGTGGAATACTAAACTGTGTGAAAAATTAATAAGAAGTAATAAGGAGGGATCAATGCGAAGTGAATGAATCATGTATAGGGGAGATTAATAATGGTGTTTAACCAATAATAATAATAATAATAATACAAAGATTTATGAATAAAGGTAACAGAGACAATTACATTTGACTACGAAAGGTCGTAAGTACATGGTCAAATTAGGTCATCCAATAGCTAAGATTACTATCGATTAATTGGCCTTGTAGTTGGCCAAGGGAGGAGCAGGGGTTGGAGATATTTCTTCTGTACGCATTGCTCCGGTTTCTTCATCCTGATGGCTAATGTTTCAATCGTTTGAAAGACTTTAAGCCTGATAAGCTTTGGCAAAAATTTACTGACCCCATAAATAATTGAACAGAATTGGTTTATACTGGCACTATGACCAGTTTGTACTAAATGGGCCAATATCGAGCTGTTTATTTTTTTTCACCAAATCTTTGCTTAGCCACGCTGGGAGGTGTTCGCGAGCACGAAAATGTAAAATCCTAGAACTTCGACCAATATAACTTACTCCACAGGAGCAGTCATACTGATAAAAATAAAATGAGGTGGTCATGCTAGGTAATTCATTTATCTTCAACTATTACAGTTTATAAAACTGTCGTATCTTTCAGTTTATTAACGAATATATATATATATATATATATATATATATATAAGTAAATGTTTAAAATCAAAAGTACATCCCAAATTTCTTACATTTCACTAAAAGAAATTCACGAAATTCCTGTGAGTTTTTAAATTCTGGAGGATTATGAAGTGGTGGTCCAAAAAATGGAACTGATTCTTCAGCAAATATATTCAATCTACAAAAATTAAAAATAAAACAGATCGAAAAAGAAAAAAAACATCATAAAATTGAAAATGATTACATTACCTGTAAACATTGGCTTCATTATCGTATGTTACAACAGCAAATATATCTGTGTTTTGTTTGTTTGTTTTCGTTGTTGTTGTTGTCGTCGTCGAGTAAATAATTTTATTTATCAAGGAAAATATGATATGACGTTCTAATAAACCAATCAAAATATAAGCAAAGATGGATAGTGGCTAGCAGTGGAATCCAGGACACGCGCTTCGTCCTACTTGAGACTCGTCAGCTGGATGTACCTGCATATATCTATCAGGACTCAGTAGCTGAGTGGATAACGTGATGGCGTTTGAAGCGAAAGGTACTGGGTTCGAGTCCCAGTGTGAACATCAACTTTGAGATGCAGGTACAACCAGCTGACGAGTCCCAGATAGAAAGAAACGCGCATCCTGGATTCCACTGCTAACCACTATCCATTTTTGTTTACAATGCCTGTGAAATAAGGCAATATTGAGGCAATACACACAGTATGCATATATGCCAATAAGAGACTGATCAATCGCAGTCCTAAACATCAATGGGAAGATTCAAACAAGTAATACTAAGTGAATTCAGTTAAAATATATTTCGAATAAATAGTTTCATTTAAATAATTTAATATACATCTACATAATATGAAGAATTCAAATTATTGAAAATTTAAACCATCAGCTAAGTATGGTAGAACAGATGAGATCGGCGAGATTAAAATTTATGGACGACCTTTGAACGAATCTTAAGTGACCTCGAGAATGTGAGGTCAATCAGTAAACAGCCAGCATAGAATAAAAATATATTATAAAAATCAAGGAATTAAAGTGGATAGACTTCATTTATATGGTTCAAAAACTTGTCAAGGTTAGAAAAAGGTTCAAAGGTTCCAAAATCGTAATGCATAAGGTAGAGGAACTCATCCATATGGCTCCATAATAGTTGGTCTCTTGAGCCATGATAAGGTAATAAAAGCCCTCTCAGTCTCGACCACATAGCTTCAAAATTGATTGTGTGTACTCCGGTTGTGTAAGTTTATCATTTTTATTATGGATATGTCCTCACAACATTCATACCACTGAACAGCTGAAGCTTCAGTAACATCTTCGATTATTGCAGCCAATGTTACTGGTGCTTTTATTATACAGTTCACGGCAATTATTATAATATGCCTTAGTCTCAATCTGGATTGAGTGATAAAGGTTACTAATCTAGCAAACGTCTTCCTTCAACATATATTACATCGAAGGGCAACATCACAGTAGTCTGCTTAAGGTCTACAAGTCAATTGACACCCTCAATTACAAACACAGGAACTTCGTAGTGGTCTTATTTGTTGTAGCCGCTTAATTGTCAAGTCCTCTCCGAAATCCTCTGTGAACCGATCGTACATGAGCATCAGGTACTGAAATTGGCGCCGTGACTATGAAATCCCTCAAACGCTTCTGAGATCTGTTCGTAAGAATTTAATGGTTGATTTTTTCTTTTATTCGAAAATTAATTAATTTTTTAACGTGTTCACTAATAGAGTTATTGATAATGATTTATCCAAGTTTATTTTCCTTGTTTTTCTATTGTAACTTCAATAGTTGAGATCATGAGTTAATTGAAGGTATACCACCATGGAAAACCTGGAAGCACTGGACGACCGTTTCGTCCTATTATGAAACCCCTCAACAGTGCGGATCTACGATCACACTTCGTGAGATTCGAACCCAGGACCTATCAGTCTAGCACGAGAGCGCCCCTAGACCTCTGAGACGGCATTCAACGGTGTTAATGTTTAACTTCAACCACTCCACGTAATTGAGAGACACATCCACCGATGTCTTCAGTGAGTTACTATCTCACAACAGACGTGGTTGAACTCCACTTGTCATTGCTTCTCACCAGAACTCCATGAAATACCTCATGGTGCCAGTCACTAGTGAGCATATGTTGAATAATATCAGAAGGGTTTTGTGGATATTATAGTAATTTTAATAGTTGAGATCATCAGTCTATTGTGCTGAAAAACAGGGTAATATTTTTCTTAGATTCAATCTCAGCATATACTTGAGTAAAAGAATGATGAATATGTGATATGATTTTATTTTCAATACATAAATAAACGATTGTTAGGTATAGCGATCAAATTATCGTAATCAAATGGCATTTAACTGTTTTGAAACACATATACTCTATCTTGATTACATCATCATTTTGGTGCAAAAAAAGGATACGAGTAAAATGAGTTCTCATCATAGATGGAGTCCATGATGGTTGTTGTCCAGGTGGGCATCCATCAACAAATATAATGTTGACTATATCATTCCCAATATGACGTTTTCGTTCAATCTAGAGAAAACAAAAAAACATACTATATATTTATCAATAAAAAGTGGATATTTTACATCTTTTCTAACTTTAGAAATTCATTAGTTGATTAATATTATCTTTGTGCTAAATAGGCCTATCAGTAGGATGTATTTATTAATCTCAATATTAAAAGAAATTGAACTGATAGTCAATCAATTAAATACACCATACTCAGACTAAAGTAGTCACACAGAGACTAAAAGTTCAGCTCGATCAGAGATCAAACCAAAATAAATCTGGTGGACTGTACATTCATTATGAATATTCCTACGGTTTCGATCAACAATTATGACGGTATAAATTCTTTATTAAAGTAAGAGTTAAACAATGAACACATCATGTATTCAAAACATCCTGCGCAAAACAGATATGCAGATAGTACATAATATCCAAAACGCGTTGTGGTGTATCATATATTCAGCAACATATAAAGGCATTTCTCATAGCGAACGAATATCAGTTGGAGAAGCATTGAAAACTGAGTAAAACTAAATTGGAGTCCTATTAAGGAATACCAAGTTTTAAGTTGAACATTCAGTTGAACAGCCAGAATTCAATATTCACATCTGTCATATACATTATTAGATATTTAGTGAACTATTTGTGACATTGTAATAATTCCTACGAACTAAGAAGTAATCACTCTTGTCTATTAATCACAAACGAATTTAAAATGAATTTTCAATTATTACCACAGTATGATTGAGCTTTTTTCAGTCTGTTCTTAAATTCAAAAATCTTTGTTTCTGGAGTAATGAAGATTATGTATTCTATACGTGGTTCAACGTTTGGTTATAAAATTATGTTTGATATATGTCATGTTCATGGAACGCAAATACATTATATAGATACTTATTACCAAAACTGACTATAATTAATCATGAAACTACTGTTCCATAGTTAAAAGTACCATATGACTTAAGGAATGGTGTAAAAACATCATCTTATACTGCTTTTTAACCTTAATTAGTGATTCATAGTAAAATGAATTCGTGAAAATTAATATCTTCTATCACTCACCTGTTGTCGATTCTCTGTAGAATACGGCAATAAAGTAGATATATGAAACATTATTTCATGACCTTCATAGATTGTATACACTGAATCAATACCTGTTGTATTCGCTAGAATCAAAATGTAATAAAAATATTTGAGCTCATGAGTTTAAAATTAAGAATTTGTCAATACTGTCCGATTTCTATCTATCAGTTCATCTATGAATGTCTACAGGCAATGAATCTCAACTAAAATTCTCTGATGAATTTAATGAAGTGAAAATTGTGTTTATGGGATAGATATTAACAAGCAGGCTTAGTATAAACATGTGATTGATTAAATTAAATTGTGAATAGTTTTTCAATGTAAGAAAAAAAATGTTGAAAGTTTCTAAAATTTTGTGAACATTGTCAGTTAAAGTGGAAATGTAAACATGCTCACGCATAAAACTAGTTCATTAGGAAAGCTCAGTTTATCGTACATACCAAGGTATGTATAGTATAATCTATATCATACAACATACTATACTTTAATAATTATCTATGATACAATATAACTATTATACTTAAAATGACCATTGAATATAAAGAGAGCTTCACTATTTATATTCTCATTCAGTAGCGGTTCTTTAGTTGAATGTCAAGCTTACTTTTAATTGCTTCCCTTCATTTTTAGCCCCCGAATGCCCTGGTACGGTCGAGAGTGGGGATAGTACGCTCTCCCACTCGAAATGCTCTCACATGGCCACGCATATATAGCCTCTGTCAGGGAAGTCCTACTCATCGCCTTTTCGTGGCATTACTGTTGTTTACGAAATTGAGAGGACGAAAAGCGAATTTCCAGCGCTTTAACCGGGTTATTGAACATGGAAAGTCTCATAATGCTCTCACATGGCCATGTGTATATAGCCTCTGACAGGGAAATCTTATTCACTGTCTTCTCATGGAGTGGTGTCATTGTTTACGAAATTGAGAGGATGAAAAGCGAGTGTCTGGTGCTTTAACCGAGTTGGTGTCCAGCGAAAGTTCATCTAGAGGAGTTGGAAAACCATGATTCCAAACCAATGGTTCACCTGGGCTCCAGTATCCTGAAGGAACAAATGGCGTATGAACCAATCGTTGGTTACCGTGTACTATGGAATTGCATCTCCTTACGATGCTCCACTGCCTTGTGGATCAAACCTTTAGGTCGAATGCTCTGGGTGTGGCCCTCTAAGAAAACCCCCTACTTCAGTTTGGGCACCTAGGCAATGTCACAGCCCTCACACAAATTAAATGAGATTTGTATGGCGCACGTATATCTGGTGCCCCCTTGTATCAATATTTATGTGTTTACTAATAATAATAGTAATAAGCGGTTCTTTAGTTGAACGTCAAGCTTACTTTTAATTACTTTCCTTCATTTTTTATTATGAATAAGAATGAATATGTTATAGTTAGGCTTTTCTACTTAGTAATGTAAAGAAAAAAAATGTACAATTTCACTATTTATCAAATTGAAACTTATGAATTACTGTGAGGGATAGAAAATTCTGTATACAACAATGATTGTCATAAGTTAAAATCTCATAGTGAAGGGCAGCTTGATGTAATGCATTAGTAACAGTATATATTTTATTATTATCCACATTATTGAACTAATTTATTGTTTGAGACTTGCTTCACTTCAAAATAACAAAAAGAAAACCAATTTATCACTTACATTTTGTATCTAGCCCTCCTTTAAATCGATCCCAAGATTTCAAGCCAATTCTTTCTCCGAGAAGATCAATAAAACGTTCAAATTGTTCACTCCCTTTTTCTTTAATTAAGATAATTTAAAAATGTTTACCTTTATTAGGAGAATACATATTAAGTAGTCATACGTTTAGATTTATTGAAAGATATTTTCAATAGAAAAAAGTGTTTTTATTGACTTCTATCGAAGGTTTGTACAATCATTTTTGCTCAACGAACCTTTTTTTTCAAATAAACAAATTAAAAATACCAACTACTTTGAATATAGACAGTTTTTCTGACTTCCTTATTATTATTACAGTGATCGAAGACTTGATGGAGAAAAATAATTTTTTTCTGTGCGTAGTCCTTTACATACTCCATTATTCCTCTAAGTCTGTCGTGATTCTGATTCCTCTTCGATTTCCCTTCTGTTCTGTTGAATTCGACGTTTTCACTCCCAGGCATTTCATTTCCTACAGCGACTATATATTACCTATATCTGTCAGCATATGTAGTATACACCTCTCCATTCTTTGTAATCTCTTACATAATAAGCATTTAATAAATCGGATATAAATATAAAAGTTGTATGAAGTAGGTAATCTTTCTATATGATTACAGCGGATTACTGAGATTTACGAATAGGTAATAAATTATACGTCAAGATAATATAGTCTTGAAAACTGAGGTCACAATGCTTTGAAGAATATTTATAGTATGACTAAATGTCACTAATGTTTTATAATATTGCTATTCGATTCGTCGCTGAACCTTAGTCAGTATAACATTTGTTTTTTTTCTTCAATACTGATTGAATTTTGTCAGAATGTGACCATTTGTCAAAATATTATAACATTGTGCACATAGTCATTTGATACCACTTGGTTGAAGTTAGGATACCCTATAAGTATGAGATTATATGAGATTCTATATAAAACACAACCAGAAGGAAGTGAAGGTAATCGCACTAGTAATACAACCCATTTCCTAAATGATCTAAAAGTTAGAAAAAACGTATTACTCTTGAAGAACTGTAAATTTACTGGGAAAATACTAAGTGGTCAACTCATACAATAAACTGATTGAAAAACTAACAATAATTCGTCAATGGTAATTCTGTGATCTATGTGTTTTCAGATGACAGTAACCAGTGGAGTTCAACCAGGTCTGTTGGGACATAGAAACTCACTGAAGACATTGGTTAATGGTTGCTCAACTTCGTGGATTGGTTGAAGTTAGACATTAACACCATTGAATACCAGCTTGCTCAGTGGTCTATCGGTTCAGTGCTCACGCACGAGACTGATAGATCCTGGGTTGGAATCTCGCGAGGCGAGATAGTGGATGCGCATTATTGAGGAGTTCCACAATAGGACGAAACAGCCATCCACTGCTTCCAGGTTTTCCATGGTGGTCTAGCTTCAATTAACTCATGATTTCAATTATATAACGTTACTCAAATCTCCACAAAACCCCCTTCTGATTATTCCTTTTTGTTTAGATTTTCATACTTCAGCTTATGACGTAATATTATTAGTTATTCCCTTAAATAAGTAGAAATATTTTTTTATGTTTTGTAAAACTACTTATTCCATTCATCTTTTGTTATTCAAAGGGAAGTGTTTTTCTATTTTGACATAACATGTTAATGAATAAATAATTTATTAATGGTTTTCAAAAGAAAAAAAGATACAACCAAAAATTGGATGAGAAAAAGAGGAGGGAAGAAAGGAAGGTTTTGCATAGACATATTAGCTTTAAAGTTTGATTTAATTTCATAGTAAACTATTTATTAAATGTGTTCTTTGTTACTAGGTAATCAATAAAATGGATGATTATCGTTATCGCGAATAATAGTAAATAATACAAGTACATGAAAACTATAATCCATAGACCTGTTTCAGTTTGGGCATCCGGAAAGTATCACAGCCCTCACACAAATCAAATGAGATTTGTGTGGCGCATATATATCTGGTACCTCTTTGTACCAATATTTATATGTTTAAATAAATAAATAATCCGTAGATTGGAATTTCAAATCAGAAATATAATTTGTTTTTAAAGGAACTACCGAACTCAGGATCATTAAAATCAGTATACAATGAAGATTACAGTAGTTCGAACAAGACTTTGAATTAGGTTGTACTTAAAAATGTAATGAATAAGCGTCATATTACCTATAAGTTATTGCCTTTTGGTCTTATAGTAACCAGATTAAGTAAACCAATTCATAATCCATAGATAGTTTGGAAAATTCTTTGACGGTTTCAAAAAGTTCAGTGGACTAGCGAAATTGGCTATCTCAAACTGATAAATAAGCTTAAAATTTATTAATGATATCCGTGAACTACAATAAGCATCGACTTGATTCATCATTTGAAGTTGTCAGCATTGTCTGATTTCCTGGTTCATTTATTCTCCATAGAAATTTCTCTTTTTAACTTTTATGAAATGGTAAGAAATTAAAAATCATGCAGTGCAAATCCATGATCATGAGTTGCACAACATATCGTCCACTATTCGATTTTTTCTCTATCCTGTAGTACAGTTCACCAGTAGTCCGTATCTGGTGCATGTTGACAAAATATATAGTGAGGAAGATAGTCGTGGTGATAGCGTAGTTTTCCTGCCGTAGAATGCTGCATCGTTTCTAAATTCATCCATTTTAAAGTATTGATAAGCGTGTTACTCTCATTTCGTTTTGAAATGTTGACGAAGGTGAGTGGGTAAGGAAATAAAGTTTTGTTGTAGTTGTATTCTTTGAACCATACTGCTAAATTATAGGGCTTTTATTGTCATTCCAAACAACCCTGACGACAAAATTTTTCAAGTGTTTGAAATGATATCGTCATGCTGAGAATGAACAGCAGTGCCACAGTTTCTTTCCAGTGAAATATGTTATTTAAATCTCTTATGAATGAAAGAATAAATGCCTAATGAGAAAGTACTATTTCTCACTTTATTTTCTTTGTTGATTTTGATTTGGTCTCATTTCCATACTAAGTTTTACTTTCCAAGGATTAATTCCTATTTCACATCTAATAAATCAAAACTGTCTGCTGAAAGGTTTCAGTATGATGCAATCATAAGTTTTAACAAGTTTAATCTATTTTCTGTCACTCAGATGGTTAGTTCAAAGAAGAATAAAATAACTGCTTATTTATTGTGACAAACTGTGGTGTATACATGAACCAATGATTTTTTTGTACTTGATGACTGCTTGATTTCGAATTCCAAATACAATACATTCGTTCGTATTTATCTAGTAATTCTTGATTAAATTGCGTTATTTCGGGGATTTCTAGTTTATACTATAATTCAAATACTCTTAATTATCACACAAACCTCAGTGATACTTTATAAATTAAACGAAATACTGTAAAATATATTGAGCATTTTGAGACTGAAGGACAGTGACATATAATATGCTATTAAATGTTCACTGAGTGATTTAAGTCATATAGGATACAATAATGTAAAATGTGCTCCCAAATGCCCTAGTACGGCCGAGGGTGGGGAGGGTCCACTCTCCCTCTCGAAATGCTCTCACATGGCCACGAGTAAACAACCGCTGACAGAGAAGTCCTACTCACTGCATTCTCACGACTAGGGTGTTATTTACGAAATTGAGAGGATGAAAAGCGAATATCCGGAGCTTTAACTGGGTTGATGGATATGGAGGATCCACCTAGGAGAATTGGAAATCGCTGATTCCAAGCCAGTGGTGAACATGGGCTCCAGGATCCTGAGAAGACAAATTCAGTATGAACCTATTGTTGGTCACCGGCTACAATGAGACTGCATTTCTGATATTGCTCTACTGCCTTGTGGATCAAATAAATAATAAATAAATAGATGTAAAATGTGATTTTATTAATGAAATATCAATATCTTCAATTCTCAGGTTACACAAGATTTATAATTTTGGGTAAATCTGGATAAGGAATATACAAATACTAATAATAACTGCTTTTCTAAATCCTTTGAATGACAAAACTGAATGATTAGTATAGATCCTTAGATGAATTTAAACCATGGTCTAAAAACAATTTTATTCAATTATTTTGTACATTATTTAGAATGTTGAATGATAAAATTTACAAAATACTAACCGTTGTTATACATTTCTTGATCTGATGTTTGACCTTCAACGCAATAAAGTACTCCAAATTTAAAATTTACTGAACCCTTTGTAAAGAAAATAATAAAAGAAAAATGAAATAAAATGTATCTTTTGTTTAATTTAAGATGTTAGGACGTTAAACGTCAGAATAACTCAATAACTTTTGAATACTATAATTCACTTACTTACACCGGTTATATCTTGTGAAAGAGCGGAGGCCACCTACCAAGAATCTCCATCTAAGAGTTACGAAGGGTTAATATAGTCAACGTCAAGGAAAATCTTATATTGCTATGATACTATCATTAAGAATATTGATCTTTATCACACCATTTTCTTAATATACATACATTTTCATCGATTTTTAAAATAGAATCATCAAAAAGAAATATCTCATCCGTTAGGATACAATTGAAATCGAGGAAATAATGAACGGATGTTTTCTTCAAGTTTGGTGATTCTCAGCACTATCCACCTACGACCTCATAAAGTACTGGACGCAGAATTTTCTGCCATCATATTGAGTGTTCAATTCTTTGATCACATGTTGGGATACTAGAAATAAACAAATATTTAGTACTTCTTCATTTTTAATGATACAACAACTAATTTCAATCTGTAACGGTTACCACCTTCAAAGCATTTCATAAATGTTCACAAGATTTAACAATTAGTTAGGCAAATTAATTTTCTTCTAAATCATATTTTATCATCACAAATATATCTTAGTTTTTTCAATCTTGAGAATTTGTATTCCTTAACCTTATAGTTATTCAACTAAATAGATTCTTAAACGTGAACTAGTAGATAATAATGAGTTATTGAGTTGAGATGTTTGATTGGAATGATGAATAAAAGATAAGTCACATGTACATACATATGGGTTTTAGTGTGTCTTTCATATGTTATTATGTAAATATCAACCCTGTTTTCACTTCAAGTTGACCTCAGAAAATTATTAAAAAAATTATTATTCTTTTATCAATAATAACCACTTTAGAGTTGATTCCTTTATCTTTAGTCTATAAAATCCATTAATTGTTATAAAAATAACTATCAGAAGGGGTTTTGTGGAGATTTGAGTAATTTTATATAGTTGAAATCATGAGTCAATTGAAGTTAGACCACCATGGAAAACCTGGAAGCACTGGACGGATGTTTCGTCTTATCGTGGGATTCCACGATTCCGCCTAGCAAGATTCGAACCCAGGACCTCAACCTCGTGGATTGGTTGAAGTTAGACATTAACACCGTTGGATACCGTCTCAGTGGTCTATCGGTTGAGTGCTCTGGCGCGATACCGGTAGGTCCTGGGTCGGAATCTCACGAGTTGGGATTGTGGATGCACACTGCTCAGGAGTCTCACGATAGGACGTACCGGCCTTAAAGCAGTGCTTTCAGGTTTTCTATAGTGGTTTAGCTTCAATTGACCCATGATTTCAACCATGCAAATAAAAATGACTTACAATTAAAATTATATTAGTGAGTTTCATAAAACAATTTGATCATACATGTAATTTATTTGGAAAATACTAGAAGTGAAATAGTAGTCAAGATCTCATGGTAGTGTAAGTTTCAATAGGAAAGATATAATATGGATTCAATCTCATAGTAACTTAGAGCACAGTAATTCCTCATTTACCTTAGTTCAATATCAGATTTTAGCTCATGATAAAAAGTTTCTTAAAATGTTGTAAAATTTCCATCAAATAATCCAGCACGATTCTGACAAAGGTTAGTTATAAAGGTAGTGTGTTGTTTGCCACATAACATTATGTCAATAAACGGAAAATATAATAAAGTGAAGACATATCTAACGGCCGAAATAGTTCAATGACTAGGAACTAAATCATTTCCTCCTAAACTATTTTTGTAATATTTTGAAGCATATTTATTTTATCGTCAGTAAAATAAAAAGTATACCTACGGACAGGCTGTAGTGGCTGGTCCTATGCCAAGCTTACATGGGTTATTCTAGCTTCTGGACAAACCAATTTATCCATTCTTCTCAAGCTATATTTTGACCATGTTAATTATTAACCTATCAACCTTGACTGTTTTTACGTGAGCGTATATGTGTATATTTCTTATCTTACTCATCACATAACTTATCTTTGTCTGACTATAATTATCGATTTACGCTTGGCTAAATTGAGTTAGCTCACTCGCCTTCTCCATTGCGCGTCTTTTAGTTTCGTTTCTCTCTCTCTCCTTCTCTTTCTTCTCCCCTTCTCTCTATCTCTCTGTTCTGATTGACGATTTTACAAAATATACGTATTCAAAACTTTATTCTCTTATTTGACTTATTTAATTCTGCTATTCATTAACACGATTCAAGTCGATAATCGTACACGACGATTGATGATATGTATATTTCGATAACAAGGAGCAAACAATCTACCTGGGGTCAGATCTGGATTCACAAAACGGCTTTTTACAGCAGCTTTATCTGATTATTTATAAAACTGTCGTTCATAGCTTTGATTATATTTTTACATCAAACGTATTCTAATGTATAATTGATAAATAATAAAATGGAAATCTGCAAAATTCCACAACTGGTGTATAATATTGGTCCTTACTTCTTGTTCTTCTAAAGTAAGTGCATCTTTTTGTGCTTCAAAATTCAATATTCCACGTGGTCCTTTCTCTACACGATGAATATCGAAAAAGCTGTTACAGATTAAAAAAGAAAAGCAAACTAAGAAGTAAACGTGTACAAAATATTTTAAAGCCAACACCAATTTAAAAAGTTGTTAACATACTGTCAAAGAACAAAATCTAACCAACTAAAAATATTTTAATAGTTGATATCATGAATCACTTGAAGCTAGATCAACATGGAAAACCTGGAAGCCCTGTTCAAACAATTCGTCATATTGTGGGATGCCTGAGCAACATATGCTCACTAGTGACTGACTTCAAGAGGTATTTCCTGGAGTTCTAGTGAGAAGCAGTAACCAGTGGAGTTCATCAAGGTCAGTTGTGAAATAGTAACTCACTGAAGACATTGGTGTATGTGTCACTCAATTTCGTGGATTGTTTGAAGTTAGATATTAACACCGTCGGATGCTAGCTCAGTGGTCTAGAGGTTAGGCGCTCGCGCACGAGACTGATAGGTTCTAGGTTCGAATCTTGCGATGCAGGATCGTGGATGCGTACTGTTGAGGAGTTCCACGATAGGACAAAACGGCCGTCCAGTGCTTCCAGGTTTACCGTGGTGGTCTAGCTTCAATCGATTCATGATCTCAACTATTAAAATTACTATAATATCCATAATAAACCCCTTTCGATATTAAAAATATTTTGTTTAGTTATTAAAATACGAACAGTTATAACACATTCTTTAATCGAGATTTTATATGTTTTGTAAAGTTGCTTGCTGTTTGGTAGTACCGTTAGGAAATATTAAACTGATAATAATTATACGGAAGATCGTAGTAATGGATACTTAATTTAAATAGAGTTTCTACTGGCTCTGAGTTTGTTGCTAACAGTGATAGTGAAATGAACAAAGAACAGTGTAGGATAAATCAGTTGTATTATGTGAAATTAAACAGTGCATTTATGAAAAATGAAAACAATATTTTAAATATACCATTTGCGCATCTTCCATGAAGTGTCCCTTACGAACTCCATTGTTCCTTAATCCCTGTTGCTGCTCGAAGTCCTCTGGTTTTTCTTTCTCTTCTCCTCATGTTCCTCTTCTACCAGTAAGAATCCTACTTCCAATTCCCGATACGCACTACTTATATCTATCCGTAAAAGTACCATACACCACAGTCGTCACCCCTTAAATAAATCGTTCTAGCCGTCGTTCCGCTCGCCGTACTGCTGTCTCTGTCACACTTTGGGGCTCACTCCCGGTCGAAATGTTGCGTCTGCTGGTGCGCTGACTTTTAAAGCTCTGCCGACCTTCTGGGCCACCCAATTCGTAAATCCGCCGTCTAACACCTCATCTCCGTCGATAGCGACTGTCATACCCAAATAAGAGTGGTGACAGTATGAAGAAAGAATTTTAAGTGATAGCTTTAAACGTTTGAGAAAGATCGTTTTTGACATGATATGACAAAGTTTTACAGAATACATAAAAATAGATTGTCCATAATCTGACGTGAGTTAATCGAAAGAATAATTTCAAAAGTGAGAAATAATAAATATGCGGATTTATGAAGATTGTAGAATTTCAGTGATTGAATTCACAAGTCGATCTAAGCTAAACAACTATGGAAAACCTTGAAGCCCTAGATGGCTGTTTCACCCTAGAATGGGACTCTTCGGCAGTGCGCACCCGCGCCTACGCACGCGTGACTCGAATCCAGGACATTCGGTCTCGCGTGCAAAAGCGTAGCTTCTAGACTACTGAACTGGACGCTCACTTCTGAGAGGTCCCATACTAGGACACAATAGCCATCCAGTGCTTCCAGGTTTTCTCTAGTAGTCTAGCTTAGATTAACTCGTGAATTCACCTGTGAAAACGAATTCTCTTTGCACTGTTTAATTAAATAATCAAGGCATTTGAAGGTTATTCATCGAGTTATCTTTGTACGATGGTTCCAATCCATTTTTCCGTGTTGTCACCAACCTCATTAGAGCAGAACTTTATATTAGCCACTGGTCAGTTAGTGTCCAACGAGATTAAAATACTTTTTGGGCATGTTTATTCATATTTTGTTTATGAAGACTAGATATTTATCTCCTTCTGTTTAAACAGAAATATTTAATTATGTAAGGACCAAAAATTATTAGTTTGTTTATAGGTTTTAAAAAAATGCCTTTTCAAACCTCATATTTACGTGAACTGTTTGAGTGATTAATTCAGCAATCAGATATAAAGTATAACACAGTTTTAAAACTGTGATAGTAATTATGGTAAATAATAAAATATACTAATCTAAAAATTATCACTGAAAAGATGTTCAACTCCACGCTTTCAACTATGAAAATACTAAATCTCCACAAAACCCCTTCTGATTATAATAATATGCTCACCAGTGACTGACTTCAAGAGGTAAATCCTGGAGTCCTAGTGAGAAGCAGTGGAGTTCAACCAGGTCTGTTGTGAGATAGGAACTCACTGAAGACGATTGGTGAACGGTTGTTCAACTTCGTGGATTGTTTGGAATTAGATATTAACACCTTAGAATGCCGGCCATCTCAGTGGTTCTAGAGGTCAAGTGCTCACGCGCAAGACTGGTAGGTCCCGGATTCGAATCTCGAGAGGCGAGGTCATGGATTCGCACTGCTGAGGAGTCATACAATAGGACGAAACGGCCGTCCAGTGTTTCTAGGTTTTCCTTGGTTGTCTAGCTTCAGATAACTCACGCTTTCAACTATTAACTCTTATTGACTAATTTCAGTAGTCATAAACATTAAGTTTTAAACCGGTTATAAGACAACACCGCGAAATTTATCAATATACATAAAGAAAATGGATTGTGACACTAAGAAATATTTGCAGATGATACTGTTTTCACATTAGCTTACTTTGAATGCTTCAATAAATGGACGAAAATTGATGAAATTCAAGTAATCATCGAAACATCTACCATTCAAAATTTAACATTATAAGAAAACGATATGTACATTTAAATGTTTTACAATTAAAATCAATTCTCTTACTTACTTTAATACCTTTTTTGCGGTCAATGCATTTGTTGGATTATAAGATATACATAATTTTTGACTACCCTATCAAAACAAGAGGAAAATAATTATCATTAATGTCGAATCTAAAGAAAACAATAGTTTAAGAAAAAAAACACCCAGAATTTCTTATGTAGCCTAATACAAACCATCACTAAGTATTTGCTCAGATTTTCTCATCTCGGTACAGTAATTTATGCAACAGGAGCTCCCTGATCATAAGACTTAATTGAAAGCTTCATAATTTATTGAAAAGTCAGTTAGTCAATTTCGTTACATTATGAGCGCCTAACTAAAAATCAGTAATTGAAATTATGTTAGTCATTTAAAAATGATAAACTTAAATTGCAAACCAACTCAATGTTTTTCACTTTCGACGATGAATCGTTCATTTTGGGTAGATCGATGAATAAATGGAAACCTAGTAATGTAACGCAAAGCTTATTACTCAGTATAAAATTAAAAAATTCACTTGGGCACTCCGTGTTCGCTTACATAACATAAAATTCACAGTGAAATCTTACAGTCAGAGCATACACCTCTCTTTTGCACTTGATATTATTGAGACAAATAATTATGAACTTAGGAATTTCAATTACAAATTGGTATCAGAAAATGAAAGGGTCAATCAGCTGTTTCATCCTACTTTAAAGATTCTCATCAGCGTCCACATATAACATTACTATCGTCCTTTATATCTCGATGTTGACAAAACACAATGAAAACAACCCTGGACCTGTACATAATCAACACAAAGTTACAAAAATAAGTAATTAATACTTACTGTTTTTCTCCATAAAATTGCACGATATTGACTAATTCCATATGTTTGTATATCATCTTTGACAACAGCCAGTAAAAATGGATCACGTTCAGTAAGGTAACCACAATGTAGTTGATGATCTAAACGATTTGTAAAAGAAAAAAATTGATCATTGAAGCATAGGTAAAATATTCCAGAATTAAGGTTTACATGATAATAGATTATTATCATTATTACATATTTTATGTACTTTTCTTGACTAAGTTAAGATGTACATTGGCTGTGAAGAGCGGTCGTTTTGTTTTCAACGAGTTTTCGTGGTGAACTATAATATTTAACTTTGGCTTAAATTACAATGTTAAGCGGTTTAGTTTTGGAATCAAATAATCTCTGATTTATGTTTTGACGCTTAACATTAGAGGTATATAGACTATTTAGGATGACTTCACAGATCCATATACGTTGTAGTTACAATAAATAAATAATGCTATTTTTTATTATTTGATATCATGTTATAATTACAGTAGCTATCATTAATTAGTTCGATATGAAAAATACGTGACGAGTGATTTTCGATTTCTTAATCATAGATGCTTATGAATAATCTCAATAGAATAGTTGAGTTCCTTGTGAGCAAAATGAATAGTTGAGTTCCTTGTGAGCAAAATGATTTAGTGATAAGGTAACGGAAAAAGTGTTTTGTATAAATTCTTTTGTAATCATGAGTACCATATTGTAAGAATGAGCCATTATTGAGTAAACTATAGTTATGGTAATCCTAACTCTTTTTTCCTGACAAATAATTATCTTCGTCAGAAGGGGGTTTCGTGGAGATTTTTGTAATTTTATGTAGTTGAAATCATGAGTCAATTGAAGATAGACTACCATGGAAATACTGGAAGCACTGGACGGTCGTTTCGTCCTATTGTGGGACTCCTCAACAGTGCGCATTCACGATCCCGCCTCGCAAGGTTCGAACCCAGGACCTATCACTCTGGCGCGCGAGCACCTTACCTCTAGACTACTGAGACAGCATCCGACGATGTTAAAATCTAACTTCAAACAATCCACGAAATTGAGTGACACATTCACCACTTGTCTTCAGTGAGTTGATATCTCACAACAGACCTGGTTGAACTCCACTGGTCACTGCTTCTCACTAGAACTCCAGGAAATACCTCTTGAAGTCAGTCACTAGTGAGCATATGTTGCTGAGAAGTCCCACAATAAGACGAAACTGTCGTCCAAGTTTTTCAATTGATTCATGATCCCAACTATTAAAATAATAATCTATTAATTTACTTAACGAAGAAAAAAAACTGTATAAGTACACATAAGTGTTTGAAGGGATTGAAAGAAACAAGACTAATTGTTATCTTCATAAGAAAAAACAAGACTATGTATTCACGAGTATCAATGTCAAGGTTGGACTTGTTAGTTTCAAATAAATTGAGCAATGAATAGAAAGTTAATAATAAATATATTTTTGTTATATCACAATGAGTACAAAAATTGTACTTTTAACGTTTCGTGACTTAATGAAAGACACGACTTCAGAGTAAATTTATTTACTTTGAAGAAGTGTCTTACATTAAGTCACGAAACGTCGACAGTACAATTTTTATACTCATTGGGATATTAAAAGACTAATTTTTGAACGAAGAATATTTTTTTCGATAAATTCTCTTCAGGTTCTACAATTATATTTCCAAAATTAATAATCCGAAAAACTGGCCAGGTTAAGCTTGTGAGTTTAGAATTCGATCAGAGGGGGTTTTGTGGAGAATTTAGTATTTTCACAGTTGAAATCATGAGTCAATTGAAGCTAGACCATCATCGAAAACCTGGAAGCACTGGACGGCCAACTCGTCCTATTATGGGACTCCTCAGCAGTGCGCATCCACGATCCCACACTCGCGAGATTCGAACCCAGGACCTACCAGTCTCGAGCTGAAACCTTTAACCGATAGGCCACTGAGCCGGCTACCAACAGTGTTAATGTCTAACTTCAAACAACGACCGTTCACCTATTGTCTTCAATGAGCTGATATCTCTACAACAGACCTGGTAGAACTCCACTGGTCACTGCTTCCCACTAGAACTCTACGAAATATCTCTTGAAGTCAGTCTCCAGTGAGCATATTATTAAATTGAGAAGAGGTTTTGTGGAGAATTTAGTATTTTCACAGTTGAAATCACGAGTCTAGAATTGTCAAACAAAATAGAATAAAATTCTTAGTGTTGATATGACTCATGGAAAGTAAACTTGAATCAACTTATATGTTAAGTGAAAATTTTAAGATCCATGATTAGAAGAAATATGAACCAGAGAGAGAGAAATAATAGTGCAATTACAATTCGATCAAATGTATATTGGAAGACTATATTGGGTAAAAAATTATTGGTAAGACATAGGTTGGATGAGTGAGAAGTAAATGAATCATGTATAGGGGAGATTAATAATGATGTTTAACTAATAGTAATAACAACTATACTACTACTAATAATAATAGTACAAAGATTTGTGAATAAAGGTAACAGAGACAATCATATTTGACTGCGAAAGGTCGTAAGTACATAAGTCAAATTAGATCAGTCAATAGCTAAGATTATTATTGATTGATTGGCCTTGGGATATAACGAATATATATTTGTTATCAGTATTATTTACTTTGCATTCCTTAAGTAAATAATTCGACTAGTGGTGTTTTTATTGATGTATATTCTGTTTAACCATGACGTAAAACCCATTAGAATGTATGTGACCATGTGAAACCTTAACAACATAAAACAGTTGATATGAAGAGTGTTTTCTATCTGCGTTTTCTGATCTCCAGTTATATGCTAGCAATTTAGGAATCGACATCTGAATAATGTTCATAATTCTCAATGCATATTGCCAGCCACCACGATGTCTCTGATTGTAGTTTTTTGTGACTTGCTCAGAGAAAGACTGTAAATTTTCCGTAAACGCGCCTGAATATGTTATGCGGTTAATAGACATAATGATGCGTTAAAACAAACAAAGGCAGATCATTTTAGTAATTGAATTCATTAGCCGATCTAAGCCAGACCACCACTGAAAAACTGGAAGCACTTGACAGGTGACTTGTTTAAATATCTAGAGGGCAGGAACAGATATCCCAGATATTCAAACAAGCCACCAAAGTTCACCATGCAATCATTGCCTAAAAGTCAACTAGACAGATACGACCAGAAGACAATTAGACAATATCACGGAAAAACCATCATGAAAAACCCAATAAGCAAAACCTAGAATTTGTAATTAAGATTTCTGCATTCACCAACGGATGATTTATTGGTTATTCCTTGACAATGATTGAACGATTGCTTAAATTCTTTCAGTCTTGAAAGACAAACTAACAGAGCATTTGAAATGGATAATAGTACATTGAATAGCTAATTGTGTACAAAAATATATTATTTTAGCGTTAATGAAAATATAACTAGGAGATATTGTTTACTTGGATCTTCCCATTGATGTTTAGGACTGCAATTGATCTGTCTCTTATTGGTATATGTGTATACTGTGAGTATCGCCTCGATATTGCTTTAATTCACAAGCATTACCAAGAGATTACAGATAGTGGCTAACAGTGGAATTCAGGACGCGTGTTTCATTCTATTTGGAACTCGTCAGCTGGATAACACATTACCCTTTGAAGTCCCAGAATGATCATTAACTCTGGGATTCAAGTACATTCAACTAACGAGTCCCGAATAGGGAGAAACGCATGTCCTGGATTACACTGCTAGCCACTATCGATCTTTGCTTATCATGCTTGTGAATCAAGGCTATATCGAGTCAATACGCACAGTATGCACATATGCCAATTAGAAGCTGACCAGTTGAAGTCCTAACACATCGATGGGAAGATTCAAACAAACAATACTAAGTGAATTTAAACTTCACCCCATCGCACAAGCAAGTGGCTATCATGACTCAGTGGCCGAGTGGATAACGCGATGGCGTTTGAAGCGAGGGTACTGGGTTCGAATCCCAGAGTGAACATCAACTCTGAGATGCAGGTACATCCAGCTGACGAGTCCCAAATAGGACGAAACGCGCGTCCTGGATTCCACTGGTAACCATTATCCATGTTTGCTTACAATAAAAGAATATTGTTTAAGTTCAATGGTTTCTTCAATATACAGTATTTGCAAATTAAATTTTAATCGTTTAAAGATTCCCATCATATTAAAAGTATAATAAATTTGAACGAAGAATATTCTTTTCGATAAATTCTCTTCAGGTTCTACAATTATATTTCCAAAATTAATAATCCGAAAAACTGGCCAGGTTAAGCTTGTGAGTTTAGAATTCGATCAGAGGGGGTTTTGTGGAGAATTTAGTATTTTCACAGTTGAAATCATGAGTCAATTGAAGCTAGACCATCATCGAAAACCTGGAAGCACTGGACGGCCAACTCGTCCTATTATGGGACTCCTCAGCAGTGCGCATCCACGATCCCACACTCGCGAGATTCGAACCCAGGACCTACCAGTCTCGAGCTGAAACCTTTAACCGATAGGCCACTGAGCCGGCTACCAACAGTGTTAATGTCTAACTTCAAACAACGACCGTTCACCTATTGTCTTCAATGAGCTGATATCTCTACAACAGACCTGGTAGAACTCCACTGGTCACTGCTTCCCACTAGAACTCTACGAAATATCTCTTGAAGTCAGTCTCCAGTGAGCATATTATTAAATTGAGAAGAGGTTTTGTGGAGAATTTAGTATTTTCACAGTTGAAATCACGAGTCTAGAATTGTCAAACAAAATAGAATAAAATTCTTAGTGTTGATATGACTCATGGAAAGTAAACTTGAATCAACTTATATGTTAAGTGAAAATTTTAAGATCCATGATTAGAAGAAATATGAACCAGAGAGAGAGAAATAATAGTGCAATTACAATTCGATCAAATGTATATTGGAAGACTATATTGGGTAAAAAATTATTGGTAAGACATAGGTTGGATGAGTGAGAAGTAAATGAATCATGTATAGGGGAGATTAATAATGATGTTTAACTAATAGTAATAACAACTATACTACTACTAATAATAATAGTACAAAGATTTGTGAATAAAGGTAACAGAGACAATCATATTTGA